ATGTTGGGAAAAAACGCATATTTAAAGAAAAGGAAAATATAGGAAAAATTCATTACCATTCACGAATTTCCTAATGTAATAAAAAAAAAAAATTATAATCGGAACCAGCAGTAGCGAATTCTGCCAGCGAAGCGCCCTCCCTTGGATGGTGGAAAAACCCCGCCTATACAATGAAAAGGGAAATATAGGAAAAATTCATCCTCTAAGATGAATTTTCTGTGATACAAAAAAATTATTATCAGTACTAGCGGATCCAACCAGGGGCGCGCCACTCTCTCCCCTGGATGGTTGGGGAAAAGTAAAAAAAAATCTATTTAAAGAAAAGAGACATATAGGAGAAATACATCCTCATATACGAATTTCTAATGTAGTAAGTTATTATCGTGACCAGCAATAGTAATTTCTACCAGGGGGCGCGCTCCCCACTGGATGTTAGACAAATAGTTTCGAAAAAAAAAGTATCCAAAAAACAGCTATTTAGAGTTTTCCTCCATGTTTCCCTGTCCTGAGCAGCCTCCACCAGTTCCTGATTCCATAGATACTGGCATCAGAACTTAGTCCATTTTCCATCTCAGTTTCGGTCTGTCCACTTATCTTTTCCATACGTCTCCATGCGCAGCAGCTTCTTTGGGATTGAGGTACGTCCATCCGACGAGGGACAACTTGACCTTTCGATCTCAGCCGTGCTATCCGGATATATTTCTCCACATTCGGCTCATTTTATAAGTTAGCTAGTTCATGGTTGCGTCTAATTCTCCATTCACCATTCTCCTTAATTGAGCCTCCCATGACTAATTTTATGTCATATTTTGGAGCCTGGTCCACAAATTTTTCTAACTGATCGTAGAAATCGTCCTTCACTTCATCCTCTTTTTCTTCGGTTGGTGTATACGTTAATAATCGTGATATTAAACCAACGACCTCTTACGCGCAGCACACTTATTCTTTCATTAACTGGGGTGAAGTTTATTACTGACTTCCTTGCGGCCGGATTAACTATAAATCCAGGGCCAGCTGTCCCATTTTTGTCTTTCTCCCGGTGTAGAATAGTGTTTAGCCGTCTATAGAGGTTTCCCCACCATATGGCCACCTTACCTCTTGAATGGCTGTTAACGGTATGTTATACCTTTTTACTTCATTAACACCAGTTTGGGCAGCTCCTGGTCTGTATAAGCTCCGAACATTCCATGATCCGATATGGAGTCTGTTATACAAATCCGGAGTCGTTACCATGTTAAGACAGTCAGATTTTCCGAGGCTGGTTTCTGGTTTCCTAATATGCTGTTTTTGACGGAAAAGGGTTGTTAGCCCTATGCCCAACCACCACCCAACCTGGAGGACCAGGAGCTACGTCTACCACAGGGTCACTCACCTCCCTGCGGTGTGAGTTGCCTCCAGTAGGGTCTCACATACCCGAGGGGGATGGGGAGGAATCTTGGGCAGCGTGTCTTTCCGTGGTGGACGGTCACCCATACAAGTACTGACAACGCTCGACGTTGCTTAACTTTGATTAGCTATTGCAAGTGCCTTAGCCCATACGGCTACCACGGTCCCTATACACACACACACACACACACATATAAAATCATTTTGCAGCATAGTGTTAAAGTTATGAGCACTTCAAGACAGGTACTTTATCGATAATTAGGATTTATTGACCTATTGCTTTTTAACTGACATTGTAAGACTAATTTTATGCTTATGGAACTCAATTAAAGGCAATATCACCATCATCAAGCCTGAAACATTAATTGAAATATCTAAGACTAGAAAAACATCTCTTGGAAAATGGATATTTTTAAAATTCAAGAAAGAAGCTCAAAAGCCCCAAAACTAATTGAATTTTTAAAAAATATTTTAAGGAATAGTCTCAATAATTAGAACATTAAAAATTTAGCTAGTTTGGGTAGATAAGTTCTCAGGGCTAGGAGCACAGTAATCATTACATGGATTATAGTTCTTATTTCTCATCCTCTGCTTCAATTGCAAGCCTACAATAACTCTTCAATTTCTTGCATAACTAAGACTGTCTTCTTCTCTGTACTATTTCATAAATCTCTCATTCCTAAATGTTTTTTTTCTAAAACCTTAGTGATTTTCCTCCATAACAAATTCTTCTTTTGTGATGTTACATCGTCAGTGCAATGCCCTAGTAGCGAATCTGAAAATGGGTTGAACTGCAAAATTTGGGTTTGAAATTATTGTTGAAGATGTAAGGTACCTAATTTTGTGCATTTACTTTTATTTACCTGTACCACTACAACCCTTGAAAGGTCTTGGATTTAGTACTTTGTTAGGAAGTACTGTTTCTTGGCCAATGACCGATGCAGGACCGACGAAACAGAACAATAATTTATATGTCTTCAGCTGGACTCAGATCTAATCATTGCCCTACTACTTAGCTACTCCACTCCCCTCAAAAGGGTTGCAAACAACACACAGTTTTCTCAGAGGTCATTCATCCAAGTACTAACCATGCAGGACGTAGCTTAACTTCAATGATGAAACCAGAACTGGTGTGTTCAATGTGGTACATCCGTTGGAAATTTGGTACATATCATGCTATATTAAGTTAGCATCTCTCATATTTTTATTGTTCTTTTTTATTTTAAAAAAACTAACAATAATTTACAAATCCAAAAATATCAAAATTTGCAGATATAGTAGATTGGCATTAAACTGAAAAAATAAACCTGTTTTCGAGTCACATTCATTATCAGGTTCTCTACTGAATCTAAGACTGTCCCATAGACTATGGCTTGTGATGAAAAAATATCTTGTTCTATAAATGACACTTCAGTTTTGAAATGAGCTTTCTAGGAGAAACGAATCATGCAATAAATCTTGTAGTAACTGCGTGTTTGAGTGATTTACTAAACATCGCATTTTTTAAAATTTTACAATGAAATCAAAGAAACTTTCGCAGGCGGGATATGGCACATGGACTATAGTTTGGAGACCTCTGTACAGTCAATAATTATCCATTATCATTACGTCTTTAACTTCATTCTTTTATCTATATTAGTACTATCCATAGCTGCCCAAAAGTTGATTATCATGGCATAAGCTGTGCCATCAATGTTTTTGAGGTCATGTTATAGGGTTTTAAATTTTCGATGGGAATATAAATTTTTGGAGAGAACCATATTTATGAGGTTTCAATTTGGAGAAATTTTCAAACTAGGGTACAAGAGAAAAACATAGCACATACCATAGCAAGTATAATTTTATATAATCTACATTTTTTATTATAACTTTAATTTTTATTAAGCTACAATTTGCAACTTTCACTTGCACCGTTTTAAAAAAAGAGCAATAAAATTTCTTGAGAGGGGAATTCATGTGCCATTGACTCTAGTACTTTCAATAACAATTTTAGTTTTAGTAGCATCAACTGTAATGGTATTATGATATGATTTATTAATTTAATACTTAAGTTAAGTACATATAGTCATAGATTAGCGGAATTGATTTTTCTGATAGTTTATTTCAATAATCAGGGCTTCAACATAGGCTTTCAATATAATATAACTCTTGAGGTACGTACATTAATGTCAACTATTACTTAATAAGTCATGGAATAATGAGGAATTGAATTCCATGTAAAGCTATTAGTGATTACAACTTTTACAAAGACTCAATGATCTTTAATTTGATGTTCATCGTTTCCAAAATTATTTTTTGAAAATAATACACAAAACTATATAGAATTTACTTACATGGATGTGTAACTAGAATACTCAAATAAGCGTAGAATAAAAGGTTTCAGTAAAAACACAAATTATAAATTTATATTTATTTATTCCTAAATATCACATCTAAACAATATACAAAAAATAAAAATCACAACAAAATACCATAAAATAAGCCAGATAAAAAAATTATATTACATAAATTTCTTAAACTAAATTCATATCTTGAAATTTACAAGTGCAATATATAAACAACAATTTAGTCCTCGGACATCATACAGAATATCTAATACCAAGGAGGCAGACCCTGGTAAAGACGCCTGATTTTTTAATAGTATTGATAGAAGACAGTGAGACTAGCACTGCTTCTATCTTATTTATGATGATTTTATCTTATACCTAATGTCAGGTACTGATTTTAGGGCGATGGAGACCCAAGGAGAATCTTTTAAACCACCATTCCTTGGACTGTGTTCATTGACCATAGAAAGCTCTACTGCTAAGCCAATTTTCTCCCAACAGTATTTTAAATTTAATGAAAACCTTAAATAACTATTATAGATTATGATAAAATAAAAATAGAGTAAATTAAATTAAAAATTGTTAATAAACTTTACAGTATAATCTATCATTGTTTAATACAAACATTAAAACACAAAGTCCCTCCCCTGATAAAAAACAATTCTTCATATTTTCTTTTTGGACAAATACGTGTAAAAAATAAAAATTTATATTACACATATTTAATAAATTGCTAGTAATATTGGAGGACCAGCATCTTTCAAAATGTAGACGACTAATTTTCTAATAATTAAATTAACTATTTCATTAAAATCACCGATGAGAATAAGTTAAAAAAAATATTTTACATGCTAAATAAGTGATAATATACTTAAACTATCAATCAGATTACAAAATTGAATGAATCACAAATATTGAGATAATAGCACCTTCAGGCATACTTTCATAAAATAGTGATTTTGTAATTTGATTTGATTTATAATCCTCTGAATGAGTCAAATCAATAAAATTTTATATTTACGATAGATGGAAATCAAAACTTTAAATAATAACAAATTTTGTGATACAAGAAGTAAGATAATTTCATTAATTCATAAATAATATGAATGATAATTATAATATATTTTATTAATACATAAAATAATAAAAACTAAAAGATGGATAGTTGCATAAATACATTTAGTATGCAATTACTAACATAAATTCATTTTTCTCAACTACTGAAAATGGAAAATATATACAAATAATAATATACTAAAAATGGGCAAATAAAATATTATGAAGTCTCACAATTGAGATAAATATCACATTTCAACTAAATTTATCATTTAGTTTAATTTTAATATAATTACCTAACCCCTCAATAGAATCAAACCTTATAATTAATACAATTATATAAATATATTAACAAATAAGAATATTACACTGTCACTACTATTTTAACTGGGTGAGGTACAAAATTGTTCATTTTTCTCTTAAAACGCAAATAACATATTAAAAAAAAAACAATGATGAACAATTTAAGCCAGAGAAAGAAAATAATTAAATTTGAATCTCAAAAAAATATCTCCTGTATCTGTTTATACATTGAGACTATTGAAGTTATAATAACTAATGCATAAGCAATCACAGATATGGTAAAATATTTATTTCATGATTCATGAACACTGTCCATAGAACCAAGCTAAAATAGTTTTAAATCAAATCAGTATTCTTGTATTATATAAATTATAACAAAAATCTAATCAATATTTGCAATTCATTTAAAAACTTAATTAAAATAATAAAACTATACCAAGTTTAACATAATAATAATAATATGAACAAGTTTCTGAAGTCATTCAAAACCTATTCATCATTATCCCAATAAATATCTTTATTTCGCCTTTTAAATTTTTTTGGCCCTGTAATAGCTTTTTCTAGTTCTTCTTCTGCTGATCTTTTTGGAGATTCATCTGAAAAATAATAAAATGGTTAGTTTTTATAAAGATTTTATTCGACTGAATGGGTTTTGATTAAATTATAGCTTTAGCTACATTATAATTATATTATTACAAAATCGAAAAAAAAATTCAAATCATTATAATCAAGAATTAGCAGTAGAGATAGAACATACCAATAACAAATAAAGCCTGTTCTTCTAAACTCTTGTCTTCTTCAAGCTCTCTTGAGATATCGGATTCACTTCGTTCTTCTAGTTCTTCACTAAATGAATCATTGAATTTCGGTGGTGGTAGAACTAGAGCTATTTTTCCACGAGACTGAGGGCTTTCTGATTCATCCTTTTCTGAATCTACATGGCTAAAATACAATTGATATATTAAATAAACATGAACTTTGACTTTAAATTATTACTCGATAAATGTCTAAATGTGAGATTTGTATTTTAAAAATATAATTTTACCTAAATGAATTCTCGTTTGCAGAATCCACAAATGTTAAATCATCAGTAAATGATGAGTCATTTCGATCAGGTGTTTCAACAGTTCCAGGTGTAGATGATGGAGAGCCTTCAAAAAGGGTCATGGGATCATCAATTCCTAAAAATAAATTAATTTTATAAAACAACAATCAGATATTTTATATTTCAAATTATAAAACTTGAACTTCAACAGTTCATATGATAAGTAATTAGTTTGTCGCACTGGAAAATATACCTTGTGTTTAACAGTTAAGCAATAAGACTTAAGAAGTTTTATTGCCCTTGACACCACAACATCTATGGACAATACGTAAAGTGGTTAGACAGTGGCAAGAAACAGAGATATCTATCTTACGGTACCAGTATCCGCTGCTTGAGAAAAGTCTTATTTAAATAAAAAGGTCAGCTACCTGTATCACAACATAACCGATTGGCACGAGGTAATAGAAACTCAGAAGAATTTCTGCTCTGTTTCAAAGATGGATCGAGAAAAGACTCGATCGGCTTAAGGGGCGCAATGCATATTCAGGAATCTACATAGAGAATTTAAATATAGAACTAACATTCAACAGTATTTCAACTGCAAGTGTTTGGCGTATTATATGCAGCAATCACTATCTACATTCAAGCCCTAGAATCTCCCAAAGTGAGCTCTACACTGGTGTGGGAGTGCAAACAGGTCCTGAAGACATTGTCCTGCTCTAAGAGAGTATGGGTCTCTGGTAAGGGACTTAAAGGCTACGAGGAAGCTGACATCCTCACAAGAAAGGGAGCTGAAATCCTTATGGCACCAGAACCTGTGATAGGAATATCAAAGAAACATCAGCGAAAAGAAGTCCTTGATTGGACATGGAAACAAAACAGGTAAGGATTGGAGGGAATGCAATGGGTTTAGACAAGGCAAACAATTAAAATCCTTCCTTCCTAGAACTAAGTGACTGCTAGGCCTAACTACAAAGGAAATCCGACTAATCATTGGAATACTAACAGACCACTACAGACTCACGAAATATGTAAAGATCTGCGAGATAGTTGACGAACTCTGCCATCTACCAAGATAAACACTAGAAACTGCCATGTGACAGATTAGATACAGGCTTCTGGATTCAGATAGAATCCTAGAACAGGAAGCTTACTCTCTAAAATGACCATGTCTTTTGAACTTCACCAGAAGAATGAAAAGGTTTGGAGCAAAGATGGAGGCAATATAGATTATCATTGGTATTATCTGTGGTGAGTTCGGTCTAGACCGCTGACTTAAGTAACATCGTCTCTGTGCTATGTAGTTTTACGCTTAGAAATTCTACACCTACGTCGACGATTTTTTGCTCAGTTAAAGTTAAAGTGTTGCTGAAGTGATTAGTGAAATTTGGTGACAATAGTAATAGAGGTAGTTGTACAATTATAGTAGCAATATCCGACAAATATCAGGTCAGGCATCCCTTATCTTCATTGCCGGCTGGATCTGGCAGCTCCCCACCACATCGCCCATATCGTGGTGTTCAAGTTCGAGGTATTTATCTATTATCAGTTTACAGCTGTGTGATAAATAAATAAACTGTTGATCACTTAATTTAATTTGATTGTTTTACCTGAAAATGGCTGCAGAAATTACTTTAAATGACGTAATGACCCTTCTGAGGGATACAAACGATCAAGTTAAAAAGGGAAACGAGGAGATGAGAACCTTAAAAGAATCGGTGGAATGCTTTCAAATTGAGTTGAACAAACTAAAATCAAAACTCGAAAATTTAGAACGGTCACACAACCTATTAAAAACTGCATTTAAAAACGAAATTTCAAAAAGTAACCAAAATATTGATTAAAAAAAATATACTAATAGAGAAAAAAACCTAATATTATATAATTTTAAAAACATCACAAATGAAACGCATAACACGCTGGAAGAGACTGTAGTAAATGCTATAAATAACTGTTTGAAAATTAATCTCAGCCTTTCAGAGATAGACCTGATCGCCAGATTGGGATCACTATTAAAACAGAATAGGCCTGGTGTTGATAAAATTTATAGCAATGAGAAGAAAAATACAGATTCTGAATGCAAGCTGGCAACTTAAATCAAATATGAAGTTCTCTTGCGATTATATCTTCCTCAAGAGAGAGTAACCAGGAAAGAATTATGGCCATATATTAAAATAGCTCGTGAAAATGGAAGAATTGCAAAATATAGAGGTAGATAGAGCATTTATTGATGGTGTCATTTATACTTTAGAAGACTTAAAATCTGAAGATTCCGAGCAGTAATATAGAGTCAGGAATTGCATCAAAAGACACAGCTGTGGATGAATTAATGAATAGTGATACAACAGAAAGAACTAAAAGACAGAGAAGTGAGGAATCCACTCCCGAAAATAAGGCCGAGTCACCTCGGAAAAATGAGATAGAAGATTTGTATAATAAAAAACAAGCCAATAAGAAAATAAATAGTTCTTTGAAATTAAGAAGCAGCAGCCTGGAGAGATATTTCAAACAGGGCACAAATGAGGGTGACAAAATATTAGGAACCTCTGGTTCTGTAACGAATTCTTAGCAGTTTATAGGCAACCAGGTTAATAAAATAGGTTATGACAATGGAAATTTCGACAGGATAATAAATAAAAAGGAAACTAAAAAATTATCACAGATGAAAAAATGGGATATAATCACCTATAATTGTAGAACACTAATGGCAGATTCTCAATTAACCGAGTTGAAAAACGAATTGGAAGTTATGAAATGGTCTCTTATTGGTCTGTCAGAAATGAGGAGATATGGTACAGGCAGTTTGGAGTACCAGGATGGTACAACACTGTATTATAATGGTACAGAAAAAGGTCAAGGTGGAACTGGCTTTCTTATAAATAGAAATAACGAAATGGAGGTACGGTCATTCAAAACCTACACTCATCGTATTTCTAGGCTATTAATAGAGCTAAATAAAGACCAGAAGACGACACTTAAAATAATACAAGTTTATGCTCCCACTACAGATGCAGAAGAAAGTGAGATTGAAAATTTTTATTTGGATCTACAAATAGCAATTGATGAGGACAGATATAATCAATTAATATTAATCGGAGATTTTAATTCAAAAATAGGTAGTAAAGGTAACTCAAAATATATGGGTAAATTTAGAATAGGTGAATTGAATAATAGAAGAAAAAGACTAATTGAGTTTGTGGAAGCTAATGGTCTTTACATCATGAAAAGCTTTTTTGAAAAAAATCCTAATAACAAATGGACATGGCAGAGCCCAGATAGAAAGACAAAAAATGAAATAGACTTCATAATCGTTAAAAATAAGCAATTAGTGATCAATGTGGAAGTTTTAAACCACCCTGACATTGGCAATGATCACAGACCAGTTGGGGCAATGTTGAATACAAAGTTTACCATTGTAAAACATAAAAAAGAAAATAGGAGATACATTAAAGTTAAATCAGAAAACCTAATAAAATGGAATTTTGAAGATAAGTTAAAATCAGTTTTGCCTAGGTTAGACCAAGAGATGACAACTTCAACCCAAATTACAGAAATAACAAACTCATTAAAAAAGGTACTTGAACAGTTTAAGGAAGAGAATTCCTTGGACAGTTACCGTCTATCTTGATAGACGGTAACTGTCGAAATCTCCCAAGAAAGATTAAAAATCTTTTAAACAAAAGAAGAAATTAAAAAAAAAAGGAGCAAGATATAAGACAACTTAACAAAGTAATCAAAAAGGAAATTGAGAACTGGCTGTGAGAAAGGAAAGTAGAAAAGATGGAGGAAGCCATTAGGACAGGAGGTAAACTAAAAGAGGTAGGGATCTCTAAAACAAAAATGATTGCTATTTTAAATGAAAATGGGCAAGAATTAAATGATAACTTGGAGATAAATAATAGAGTAAAAGAAAAGATAAAACGGCGGAGTGGAATATAGAAAACTAGGATCCAAAAGAAGAAATTATGATTGAAGATTGTAAGGAAGAAAAATCAGGAGGTGTTGATGGTCTGACAATTGCACACATAAAAGCTGGGGAAATGATAATAGCGCAGGCACTCACTCACTTATATAATACATGCCTTAAGAATGCAAGCTTTCCTGAAGAATGGGAAACTGCAAAACTCATAATTCTGCCAAAGAAAGGAGATAAGAGAGATTTAAATAATTATCGCCCATTAAGCCTACTCTCAGTTTTATATAAAATATTTTCTAAAATCCTACTTAGAAGAACAGAAGACAAATTGGATATAGAATTAGAAAAACATCAAGCCGGGTTTAGGAAGAATTACTCTACTGTAGACCACATATTTGTGATTAAAGAGTTAATTAAGAAAGCTAACGACTATAATCTGTCAGCGAGCCTCCTTTTTCTGGATTACGAAAAAGCATTTGACTCCCTAAAAACCGATTCTATCATAAATATGTTGAAAAAGAGAAACATTAGTTCAAGAATATGCAAGATACTGGAAGATATGTATTCGAGATCCAATGCAGAATAAAATCAGGAAATACAACAGTAAAAATAAAAATTAGAAAAGGTGTACGACAAGGTGATACCCTTTCTCCTAAAATATTTATATCAGTTCTCCATGATTTGATGCAAACTATGAATTGGCAGAACAAAGGAATGAAAATTTTTGGAGAGTGGCTGAACCATTTAGAGTTTGCTGATGATCAAGTCCTAATAGGTAAAAATATAGAAGAAATCCTAACGATGGCAAACCAATTAATAAAGGCTGGAGATAACATAGGACTGAAAATAAATTATAAAAAATGCAATTATATATCAGTGAACGTTGAGGGAGATATAAAAATAGGCGAACACCATATAGAGAAAGTAGATACATTTCTATATCTTGGGCACCTTCTCTCAATTAAAGGACAAACTGAAGAAATAATCAGGCAATGTACCCAGGGATTGCGCGCACTCTTCAAATTTAAGGATATATATAGATCCTCGGTGAGCTCAGAGGTCAAGAGAAAACTTTGGATGAGCACAGTACTTCCTGTCATGACATATGGTTGTGAAACATGGGAAATTGACCAGAAGACTTGCCACAAATTGAGGATAACCGTCAGAGGAATGGAGCGATATCTTCTGGCGATAACTCGAAGGGATAGAAAAACAAACAAATGGATCAGAGCTAAGACTGACCTTCCAGATATTGTGGAAAAAGTGCTCATCAGGAAGTGGACCTGGACCGGACATGTAATCAGGAGGAATGAATTAACATGGACCAGGCAGTTTATGGATTGGTATCCAAGGGAGCACGTGAGGAAGAGAGGACGCCCGCCGACAGACTGGGACAACGAGATGAAGAAGACCTGCGGGGGAGCAGCCTGGAAGAGAGTAGCATTAGAGAGGAAAGAATGGGTCAGGTTCATTACCTAGTGTGGTTACAAGAAAGTTAAATATAAAAAAAAAAAAAAAGAAAGAAATCGAACTCAAAACCTCAACTAAGTTGATTTTGTACATATAAGAGATTTTGTATATTTTTATCCATTGTTTTTTCATTGTATGCACAAATAAAGGTTATTATTATTATTATTATTATCTGTGGTAAAAAGGTCTATTACAGGACTGAGTCCTTCCACCTGTATCAGTACCAGTATCAAATATAAAACAAATTTTTCAGCAAAAATTCTATAATACTATAAAGTTATAATGATAAAATAAACCATTAATTTAGTAAGTGAATACAAAAGCTACAATTGAGCTGTTGAGAATAATCGTGGCAAGTCAAGTACAAAGATGTTGTATATATATCCGGAAAATAATGCAGGATTTTAAGTTTTCTTTAAAATACCCATCTATATAACAAACAGTATACATTTACTAGATTATTTAAACTAGATTATTTACTAGAATGCAAACACATACTAATCCTCCTCCAAACAATAATGTTTGCTTACCTCTGTAGCATTTGGCTGCTTAGAAATAATTCAGTCATTTACTAAGATGTCAATGCATGATTTTCATATAATTTTGTTTTACAAGTTTAAACTCAGCCGGAATGTGGCTCAGAAGGCCAGAAACATCAATCAACTCTGGGGCGAGAGCAGCATTAATAAGCGCACTGTTCAACAGTGGTTTAAACAATTTCGGAAGGGAGACTTCGGCCTTGAAGAGAAAGAAGATCGTGGAAGGACTTACTCTCTTGATGATGATGTTCTGCGGGCTTTGGAGGAAGAAAACCCCAGAACAACTGTTCGAGAACTTTCAGAGAAACTTAACCTTAGCTAATCGACCTTCGATGACCACATCAAGACGATTGGAAAAGTAAAAAAGCTTGAAAGTTGGGTTACACACACGTTAAACCATGTCTAAATTCCTTTAAACAATTCCTATTCCTCCACCTATTACACATTCAAACTTCTGCAAAGTTGTAAGAATTTTTAGGTTATACAATTATAATTGCTTGCCAAGAATTAATTGATAAGAGCCATTTTACTTTTATTTTTCTTTCAGTATTTTTGGTATATAATTGTATTAAAACTACATGCCAGACTGATGTACATATTCTTTGAAATTTGCTGTTATTCTAGGAAGATTTCAGCCACAGAATAAAATTATTTTTCATTTCATTAAACAATTGCCAAAAAAACAACAACAGCATTATGAAGTTTGTGCTACAGTTCTTTGCCGAAACAAAAAAGACCCTTTTCTGTCCAGGATTGTTGTTTGTGATGAAAAGTGGATACTTTACGATAACAGTAGACATTATGGACAGAGGCAAAGGAGAAGCAGCAGAACATTTTCCAAAGCCCCCAACTCATAAAAAAAAAAAGGTGATGGTTACTGTTTGGTGGGCATCATTTGGTTTAATATACTACAGTTTCTTAAATCCTGGAGAAACCAGCCAAATCGTATTGTAACCAAATTAATGAAATGCATCAGAAATTGACAATAATGAAGCCATCTTTGGTCAATCGGAAGGGGCCCATTTTGTTGCATGGGTCTATGTGTGACGTCAGAAAAATTGTTGGAGCTTGGATATGAAACCCTGCCACATCCGCCCTACTCTCCAGACCTCACACATATGGATTATAATGTTTTTAGACACTACTTATGTGACAAAAAATTTAATGGACAAAGGGAATCAGAAAATGCATTATTGGATTTTTTAGAATTGGAGTTTATCAATTATAAAGATGGGAAATTCTATTCCGAGGGAATAGATAAGTTGCCAACACGTTGGCAGAAATGTATTGATAGTAGAGGATACTATTTCGATTAAATAAAACAGTCATAAATCCTTCTTTTTTATGGAATGGAAAAGTTGCCAACACGTCGGCAGAAATGCATTGACAGTAGTGGATACTATTTCGATTAAATAAAACAGTCATAAATCTTTCTTTTTTCACCAAAATCCTGCATTATTTTCCAGACAACCCAATACATCATAAAAATACATGTTATATACTTAAACGATATGAACATAATATATAAGTTCATTTGCAGAGCCTTTACACTTCCTCAAATTAAAAGAAACTAAACTTACACCATTATCATCCTCAACATCTCAATTCATCATTAAAAAATATTAAATAAATTTCTAAGTAAGGTGTATGGCTGAAATTGTGACAAGTATTCCATAATTTCAAGTCAACTATATTAAATTATCAAAGATTATATTAATAATATAATTTTGTCTATTATATCAACAATAAGAAAGAAATACTTTACCAAGTTTGTCACAAAGTTCTCTAGTTTGATGATTTATTGAAAGTCCTTTCCTTGGGCTTACAGCACCTGCTTCATTGGCATTAAACTGGAAGTTAAGAGGAATTTGCAAATTTCCACCCATTTTTCGAAGTATGAAATACTTTTCTTCATCTGTAGGAGTGAAATCCCATCTAAAAGAAAAAATAAATAAATAAAAGAAGCTTCAAGTTTAACTTTTTAAACTTAGTAAGCAACTATCTTGGGACTACATTATGAGATTATAAAGTAAGAGACGTTTTAGAAAAGATTAAAATAAGCTTCTACTGATCTAATATGATATGATTCAAATTTTTATTAATGGATTCTTAACTAATCTATGTGATCCTACTAGATGTACATGGTGAATCAGATAAAACATTGTTGGTTTATTTTTATGAATCTTCAATTATTATGGTTTTTATACAGTACTTCAAGACTGTACGAGGTAAGTTGTTGATTTTTAAACCAGAAATAACAACAGAGATTTTAATGTGGTTACATCTATTGATCTATCTACATAATAGTGATGGCAAAGCTGTTTATCATGAATAGCAGTTACAACAGTTTCTGCTACTTAAAAAAAAAAAAAAAAAACCTTGTCCTTCTGTTACCTTTCCAATATTTTAAAAAAGATATGAAAATAATTTTTATCTCCAAAGTAATTATTGATTTAATTGTTAAATTTTTATACATCAACTATGGGAATAAAAAAAAATGTTTTCAAAATTGCTGATAAACGTCAAACTAGCATTAAAATTTTATAAAATAATGAGAAAATAGAAATCAGATAGGAATATTAGTTGAAAAAATTGTTCATTGAACAAAAAATGCATAGCTCTTTAGAGTATAGATTGCAACAGTGCGATGGCCGGTGTTTCATTGAAACAACTATCATTAAAGCACAATAGAGATGTTGCGGGAAGCTGTTTAAACTAAACAACTTCAGAGTTACTTTCTTTTCCCGTCAGTATCGCTGTCTCCATCTATGAGATGCTTGGGTAAGTTCCTAAACTCAGCACTGAGTTCAGTACTGATTTTAGGAATCCACTCTTTCCTAATGGAAGGTAATGCTTGTATATGTTTAATTTTTAGTGAAACAGTTTACTGTATTTGTTTAATGAAAAAAAAAAAAAACTGTTTAAATTAAACAGATTGCTACTAAATACCCCACCACTAGTATTTAAACAACTGATCAGTGACTTAATTGTAGAATTAAGAGATGACCAAATTGTTCTAATTGCTGAGTTAAAAAACTTAGCATATGTTAAATTACTTCATAAGTGATGTTAAATAAAATATATTTATGTATTGGATCGAATTTGGAAAAAAAAAATTATGTTATATAATCAATTCTAACTGTATTTACCTCTCATCACAACCTGGGGCAGGAAGAGGATTCATAGAAGGTTTCACACTTGTTAAATGATTAGTAAAATGCAAAATAGCTAACCATTCAAGATCATAAATCAGTTCCAATTTTTCATTTTCATCATGTGGGACATCTAAAACCTGTAAATAATAATTAAAAATATTACTTATTCAGACAAAAAATTTCAATATTACAACTGATAATGCAAATGGCCATAATTAAAAAATAGTTTTTTTTTTACAAAACAGCATAAAAACTGATTATTTCTTTATGATTTATTAGTATAATTTTATATTTTAATTCCCTATACAATTTTCCACAATAGCAGTTGTAGACCTATCAACGTCATATTTAGCACTAATAGAATTAACATAGAAAATTGTTACATACGACCTTTAGCACTAACACTATATATCAAATAAATAATACTGAATACAATTTAAAATAAATATAAATTAACATTTATATTTTAAAGATCATAATTTTTTTATCCTTTGAGGGGAACCGTTATTAGTTTCACTACTCCTTTGAAATTCAATAGTATGAGACGAGCACACTTTTGAGCTTTCATGATTTCTTCACATTTTTTATTCAACCACCAGCAACATTTTTTCTTATGCTAACGTTAAATTTTTAGTTTACCTCAAACCTTTGTTTTCATCTAATTTTTGGGGCAAGTATAATGTTGAATAGAGATTACATAAAGAGAACTTATTGTTTTTCAAGAAAAAATGGGTATTTTGGTCTGGATTGACTAGAATAATTAAGGATCATTATTGAAATGCTTAATTTTTTAAAAAATTCTTTTGTGCCTAATATCAGTAAGTGAAATTATTAGTGTTATTACCCAAAAAAAGTTAAAATTACTCACAAAAGTGGAGTCTGGGCAGTCCATCAATAGTTACTGAGAATAGTCAGTTGTGAACTGCTGGATTACAACAGTGGCATGATTGGAAATCTGTTGAGAGTATATAATAATCTATTTCTAACGATGGGGTTTATTTATTTGTTTTTATTTTTACTTTACGTAACCGTTTCATTATAAAGGATTAATTTTATTTTGAGAGAATATAGATACCATTTAAAATGAATTGAGAAATAATTATTTACACTTATATTAGAAGTGAAAAGTAAAGTACTAGAAAATTTCATAATACAACAAATAAATTTATAAAAAAATTCAAACCTGCAAAAATTTTCGCTTAGGAAGGCATTTGTCCAAAGCCAGAAATCGAGTGCATTCATTTTCATTGTTTCCCTAAAAGAATGGATATATATTAGATAAAATAAGATAAACACAGTTAAATATATAATATATCAAGGATAAGAAAAAGTTCAGATACCTTATGTGGAACTAATGCTGAAAATTTACAATGTAAATGAGCAGCAAACCAGTATCGAGGTTTTAAGTGGAAAAGAAGTTCTTCACAAGGTTTACTACCAAGAGTTTCGTTATTTATTTCTTCCCTAAAAAAAGAAAGTTTTAAATGTACTGCTTTTAACTTAGATTTAATTATACTAGTGAAAGTGGTTAAGTAGTAAAATAAAATAATTAAAAGTTTATATTAACACTGAACAAATTTTTGAAAGAACACGCAACCTAATGTATTACAATACACCATTTTGGAATGCCCTATGTCCTAAGATTAACAACATTCAATTCCAGCAGACATCCATATAAAAAAATAGGATTCTATTTGAAATACAACTAACTTAATTAAAAATGAAGGAAGGAGATGATCCGGTGGAAGTTACATAATATTTAGACAAAAAATTATAAACAATGTGAATAAGCTTATTAAAATTAAAGGAAGGAATTAAACAGTAAGTACATTAAAATATACACAGAGTAAGCAAAGTAACAAGATCCTAAATTGAAGTAAATAGATGATAACAATTGTTGTAGTGTTACCATCTATTTACTTCAGTTTAGGATCTTGTTACTTAGCTTACTCTATTTATATTTTAATGTACTTACTGTTTATAATTTTAATAAGCTTATTCTCATTGTTTATTTTTTTTTGTCTAAATATTATGTAACTTCCACAATTCTCTATCTTTTTGTATCTTGTCCATTCTAGCCCTGAAGAAGAGCTGCAAAGTCGGGTTGAAACGTTGGCTTCTAATAAAATAGTTTTGCCATTATTTAGCCTATTTATGACTGCCATCCCGGACCATCTCCTTTCTTTATAATGCAACGGTCAACTATTAAATATTCAATATCAATTAAAAATATTTGCCAGGATAGAAAGATCACATTCTAAGAAAAATTGTCATATTCTAATTTAGATCCTTCTAATCTCAATCTATAATATATTCAATAACTTATCACTAGAGTCTGAAAGAGAAATAACTTATCACTAGAGTCTGAAAGAGACTATCAGAACGAAAAATAAATCTTTGTCAGGCAGATATTTAAAGACTGTTGAATGAGACCTTTAACAATGAATATGAAAATAAACAATGGAATGGTTCATATTTGCATACTATTTCCAGAGATATGTTATATTTTCATTTAGATTAAGGTACGAAAATATTATTGATAACACCACACACCAAAACCAACCTGATAATCTTTAAACAAAGTTTAATGAAAAATTAGTAACTCTCATTAGGAATTTATTGGGGGATGAACGAAAACATCATTCAGATAGCATATTTGTAATACCAATTAAAATATTCACCAACAGCTACTAACCAAAATCAGCAGTAGACAGGGCTATTATTCTATACTATTACAACTAAATGAAAAATATCCAAAAATGAAACATTCAATTTTTAGAATAGATTATCATATATGTATCAACTGTAACATGGGAGAAGAGAATATACCTTGAATAAGAAAATTATGTTTTAGTCAAAAGAAATCTAAATTTTACATTATTTTTTTTAAAAAGTGTTTTGAGATTTGAGGTTATAAGCACTTTAATTATGGTAATTAGTTATTACTATACAACATAAATTAATACTAACAAATTTCTAGAAAATATCTCATTAGTAAAATTGATTGAATGATAGTAGAAAATAAAACTTACTCAAGAAAATCTTTAACTTTCAATAGCTTATCAATATTTCCATAATTGTATACACGGCGAGGCCAATCATGGGAAAGACAAACATCCACAGGAGATTTTATCTAAAATTCAAAATAATAATTATAATAAAACTTATTCTCAAAATATAATTTTACAAGAGCAAAAGGAATTTTGAGTTGCTACAATAATTTAAATGGACCAAACTTATTTTTACTGATGCACACAAAAAACAAAGTCAGTACTAGTTCACTAGTGTCATATCTGGTTTAAAGGTGGATTATCACACCAACACAGTAGATAGAATTTCAATTGTAGCTGAGTGTTGATAGACATATCCCTAATGGGTCTTTGTCATTATAAATGATAACTATTTAATCCAATGTCATGTACCTACCATAACTTATTTCTAGGGTAGGTATGGAGATCAGTCATGTTTGAATAATTTTGGACAGACTCAGCTATTTTTGCTGGTGTGATCAATCTTTTACCATCTGTCAACGGGATATGACACTCGAAAAATACTGTCAGAAAGTCTTATGTGGAAACAATTATAAATATACTAAAATAAAATTAACAATAAGAAAAAATACTAAATTACCTGTTTGAGCCTAAAAACTTCTGTATTCCTGACATGATACACACTTCTTTTAGTTTTTTCGGAATAGGGAGGTTTCTCAAAATGTCCTCTGTCATAGTCATAAGGTTTATAAATTCCTGAAATACCAGCAATTCTTAAGCCTCCAAAATTCACAACACCAGCATATCCAAGATAGTAGATATTAGGAGCAACCCATCCACCATAAGGTAATTCTTGAAGATAATTGGAAGCCTCATGGTTGCCTCCAATGAATATAGTGAGAATGGGAGCTATTTTTTCTCCTGTGTAATACCTAAACACAAAATAGTTATAAGAAGGTATAATGGGAATCATTAACAGACAAAGAACAGCATAATAACACAGTAAAAATTAATTAGAAGTAAAACTTACTTGTAAAAAGAACCCATTTGTCGAAATTTTGGTTTAACAGCCATTGTCTGCAAATCTTCTTCATTTCTAGTTGCTTGAAAATCTCCACAACAAATCAACAAGTCAATTTTTATATTTCCCTTAAGTTCCAGTAATTCAATGGATTCATATATTTTTTCAAGCTCCCCATGAGCACATCCTTCTATAGCTATTTTCATTTTTCAAACTATAATAAAATTCTTTCTTTCTTCACTAAATAGCTAGGCTTAAGCGATATATAAACAAACGATACAATTTCTATATCAAAAACCTCATACAGGCCAGCTATCAAATGTATGAACTAACAAGAGAAATAGAAAATAGTAGACATTTCCTAAGAGAGAACAGTTACGATATCAGTATTTAGAAACAAATTAAACTTGGTATGTACCACATAAGTCACTCAAAGTTTTCACTTATTCTATCGAAAATCCATAAACAAACTAACAAGTAGAAGCACTGATCAACAGTTCAAAAAAGATGCGGTGTTTACAACTACTTATGATGACACGATAAGGTTACAGCACTGTTATATATGTTTTAATAAAACATATATTTTGAATGAGATTTTATTCAATGACAAATTGATGGATTTAAACTATTATGTTTCTTAAATAAATAAGGTAATTTTAGAAGTGACATTTTTTTTCTGTGGTGGAAAATTTATAAATTTATTTTTCCTTTTAGGCGGAAGCCAGGATCTCATCTTCACAAAGGCAACATGTCTTCGTAGAGGCTAGTAATGGCTTAAATTTTTGCAAGAGGCCATGGAACAAACTATCCAGGTATTTTAGTGTGTTCTTATACTTATAAATTATAGATAATTGTGTTGAATTGAAGTTTATTATACCTGAAGACATGTTTTCTAAAAGGTGAAAAGTTTTTGAAGAAGAAGGTGTTTTATTTCAAGCGTGATTTGACTTAATGTGATCAAAATGTCGGTAAGGTAAACTTAACTGTGCGGCACACGTGGGGTTTTCTTTTTTTATGTAATTGTCTTTATTTTTGGGTTTGTAATAATCAATGTCAGACGTTCTTCGTAAGGAGAGAAATTTAAGTTAAATTTCAGTTTGTTTCTGTATAATTTACTTGTATTGGAATGTGGGAGGTTTGCCCCAAATGTCCTGTAAGTAATTCTCTTTATTGATGTTTGTAATTATGGACTGTTTGGAGTTTTATAATGTTTTATGAGAAAGTTAAAGTTAGATGTCTTGGGTCATACAAGTTGATATTATTGGGGTGACCCTCTAGTGTTAGGTTAGTTGTAGTGTTATTTTTAGTATGCCTTTTTGTTTTTAATAATTGTTTATCAATAATGTTTTTGTGGTTTCAGTTACAATTCCTGGATTTAGATGATATTGATCTGAATGAAATAGATCATGTGAAATCTCTGTTGTATTCTGTGAGATCTCCCAGGTTAACACTCCCTTGGGTTGAACCTGAGGAAGTTCAACAGTGGAATCAACAGCAGTATGGTAATTATTAAGCTAATTTTATATTATTAATTTATGTAATAAGTATTATTGTATGTCTAATATATTTGTCATATTAGTTATTAATGTTTAGATCCTGCATTCTAGCTTGAATTGTTTTTTACTTTCGTTTTTATCTTATAGTTACTATTGTCTGATTGTGGATTGTGGTTATATAGTTAATATCTGAGGTTTTCCTTCAGTGGTTTTCAAATATTTGTATATTTTACATCTTTTGAAAAAATATAAATTCATTCTTTTATGTGAGTGATTCTTATTTAAGTTTCCATATTTTAAATTATTTAATTTTATAAGGTCTATTGAAATTAGTAGGTTGAAGGCATAAACAATTAAAAATGTTTATGATAAGTTGTAATGACATTCATATGTATAATTCAAGTTTATTGGTATGGATTAAAATTTATTTTAATTATATTTCAATTTCTAACAATTAATTTATTTACCATTGGTTGAATACCAATGAAGCTTTTGAACCTTTAGGCGTTTTGCCAAGTATTTCTACCCGTGAATCTTCATACTGCTTATTTATATGTTCAAACTATTGTGTTAAAATATATATTTTGGTGACAGGGGTTACAATGTCTTGTTTCAGATATTTCTCATCATTATTATTTGTGTTAGTTTTATTTTTATCAAAACATAATAGTATAGCTTATAATTATAATAATTGAACTCTGATTTTTATTCATAATGATGTAGAGATGGTTGACCGTTGATATAATATAAGAAGGAGTTGATCGGGGGGTGCGGTCAAATTAATACCAAATTAAACAAGTAGATATTTTTAAACAAGTCATATTTCTTGATACTTTTTAATCTTAAAATCTTTCATTTTGTGCATCTTTATAAGAATTTTCGAATAAGAATTTTTATTTTACCAAGGTTAGTTATTATCTAATGTGATTTTTACCTCTCACTTGCTTTGTTGTTCTCGTTAAATGAAATAACTTTGGATTCTATACTTACTCCATAGACCAATTATTCTAAAATCTCTTGTATGATTCTATCATGTTTCACAGGATATTTTAGTTGAATAGATTGTTCTCATAAGGAATTGAATTAATTATGACAATGTTTCAACTGCCTCCCGCTGTGCTACATCCTATGCCCTGATGAAGACCTGCAAAGTGGGTCGAAACGTCGGCAAAAATTAAATAATTCTACTTGTTTAATTTAGTATTAATTTGACCGCACCCCCTCTGATCAACTCCTCATTTTTATTATTGAACATTTGATTTCAAATTGTGGCACTTCGTTCTAAGTATAACCTGACATGTTCGTTCTAATGTAACCATACTGTTTAGTTTTTAGGGTACATTGGTGTTATAAAACTGTTTTTTTTTTTTAAAGTCAATGTCAGTTTTAGGGCAAGTTTCTACACTCAGCTTTCAGCTCATCGATGACATTTGATCCAATTTAGAGACCTGCTAGGTGGCATAGATGAGCGCTGAGTTTAGGAACTCCATAACTTTCCATAATTGTTTTTTAATGAGACATATAAAGTAATTTACGTTATGATTTGATTTGTAGCTTCTAAATTCACTTATTATTTCAACTGCTTTGTTGGTTGTAGATTTTTAATAATAACTATTAAATTTTTTTAGTCAGTTTCTTCTTGTAAAATAGTTTTCTTTCCTAATTGATTATAATTTTCTGAGAATATAAACTATTAGTCAAAATTAATTTGTCTCATGCCAGTTGCATTTATTATTTACTTTATATGTTTAGAACTAAAATCTTTTAAGTTGTTTTATTGTGTATGAAGTAGATTGCTATTACATATATTTCTCTCTCTCTCTCTTTCTATATATGTATATATATATATATATATATATATATATATATATATATATATATATATAGTAATTAAGTAATGGGTTATTTTGATATGTTTTGTAACTGGCCAGAAAGTAGAAATATAGGAAAACTATTTATTGGTATGTTTTTTAATTATTGGAAAATATAATTTAAATCACACTACTTTTTAATAAGTACTTGTTACCATTTAAAACAAAACGATCACATCATTATGTGCATATTTTTATGGCTTGGGTTAATAAGTTCCAATTTAATTTGGATTAATATTAAACTGGACTTTGCAAAAACTTTTGATGACTAGGCAACGATATTTTAGAATATTTCTTTAATCTAGGTTTTTGTGTCATATTTGTTGATACTTTTTAATCTTAAAATTTTTCATTTTGTGCATCTTTATTAGAATTTTTATTTTACCAAGGTAAGTTATTATCTATCTAATGTGATTTTTACCTCTCCCTTGCTTTTTAGCTCTCGTTAAATGACATAACTTTAGAATCTATTCTTACTCCATAGACCAATTATTCTAAAATCTCTTGTATGATTCTATCATGTTTTACAGGATATTTTAGTTGAATAGATTGTTCTCATAAGGAATTGAATTAATTATTAACCATTTACGGCTTATTAGATGATTTTTCATTTTACATCTAATTAATAGCTGTGGAATCAATGCTAATAACTAATCATCAGTAAAATACGCACACTGGTTCTCATTGTTTTATTCTCTATTTTCAATAAAAATTAAAATGGCATTTATTTGTAATAGGTATAGACATATAAGATGTATCAGGAATTTCAAATATAAAGAAGTTATGTACTATTTTTTAATTCTGGCTAAGAGTATAATATGCTAAAATATAGTCATTTCTGTCAAAACTGGTAATATTATAAATTTTTTCTTTTCTGAATTACTGCAGCCATAAATAATTTCTACCGAAGTTTCCTTGTATTATTTTTTAAGAGGCCTCTTGATTCGAAATCGATTTTATTTTCTTATAATTTAATCATTAATTTTACTCAAAGGTAATAACCAACTTGATTTCCATTTTTTATTTATTTTGTGATGATTTTAAATGTTTACATTGTTCTTAAGTCAATGGCATAGAGTTGTTAATAAACAAAAAATAGTATAACATATGAAGTTGAAATTGATGAGAACATAATAGTTAATTATTGATTTGCCAGCCTAAGTCTATATCAACGAGATCAGAATTAAAGTTATATTTTAGATACTGATCAAATAATATTTCCATTGCTTAAATTTTACTAAGATATTCGTCTGTCATGTTCATTTATTATTGATTTTGAGTTTTGATACTATGATAATTTGTATAATTTTTTACATCTATTTATAGATAATATATCATACAAATTTATATTAAAGATTAATTAGCTTTGTCATTGTTAAATTATCAACTTAAATTAAAATATTTGACTCAATTCTTTGATTTTGTTCACAGATGGCGAACCAGAAATTAGTGGGATTGAAGCAAGTGGAGTTGCTGCAGGAAGTGAGGTGTATCAGGTTCCTGTTGCTGTTGCTACCACAATGCAGCAGATGTATCACCAAGTTGTGCCTACTATACCAAACCTACCTCCAGCAGCTTATGTTGGGAACATGCCTCCAAATATGGGTTACCCAATGCAGCCTCAATACATATTTCCTGAAGAGCGCACTCGTCGTTCAAGGTCTAACAAACCCAGTCCCAAGAGGTCTGAGCGGAGAGATGCTCCATCCTATCCTCCCGCAGCAGTTCCCTATTCCCCAGCCTACCCAATCCATGTCACTATGCCTCCGACACCTTATTCATACATCCCTCAGGCCCCACATATACCTTCAGCACAGCATGCCACAGGCCCTCCGCTTCACTACTTACCAGCTCCCCCAGCCACCATCCCTGTTTACCCTGCTCATCCTATTTATCCTAGTTATACCCCGCTTTTTTCTCCACACGTTCATCATGATGATTATAATAAAGAACCACCTCAAGAAGAAAAAAATGATTGTGATGAGGAAGAAAAACCTGTTGAAAAACCACTTTCTGTTCCAATAAATGCTATTAAAACTACCGCCCCTCCTACTACATCTGTTAAAAAGCAGCAAACACGGCCTCCTTCAAATCCTGCAGCAACAGCTCCTGTTGTACCCGTTACGTCAACTTCATCTCCTGCACCACCTACACCTACACCACCGCCACCCGCAGCTACAGTGGATGAGAAAGTACCCGAGCCTGGCAAGTCATGGGCTGGTCTGTTTAAGGAAGATCCTCCTAGAGAAGCGACTGTACAGCGGAAACCTCCTATATCTGCTGTAGCAGTGTCCGTTCCTCCCCGGTTTGATCCAAACCTGAAGCCTTCACAGCCAGTACCTCCTGTCGTGCGCCAGCATCAGAATTCAGAAGAGGACCCTCTTCTGAGGAGCCTTGGAGGTGGGTCAGACTAACTTTCTCCTATTACTCTGCTTTAAGTTTAGAAGCTACTGTTTATCTTATATTTTAAATTGTGTGCCTTCAAATTCTTCCTTACATATCTGATTCAATGCAGTATGTTTTATTAAACCTTATATCTTTTTGATGTTGCGATATACTGAAGAAGACAGTGTTAATGGTGCATGGGAGAGAAATAAATATATGTTGTAGATAGTTTTCAGGCTGTGAAACATTTACTGATTTGTCGCAAGACTGTTTTTTTCTTTCTTTAATTTTTTATTTTTCAATTTCTTAGTTAATTATTAATTGTTCAAAGTATTTTGTTGTTTTATAAAGAATAGTGTTATATATTATTATTAATGGTCTCTTAATTTATTTATTGCATTTCAAATGTTGATTTTATGTGGTTTTGGAGTGAATTTTTTCCTTTTAAAATTTTTATTTTTTAATGTTTTTTAATATATCATTATTATTTTTTTTCCATGATCATGATTTAACATGTTATAAATTAACTCTAAAACCATATTTATTTTTTTCTAGTCTATTTCCTTCTATTTATTTTCTTTCTTTGACAACTACTTATTTTTAAAATATTATTTTATTTTATCTTTTGTAATAGACTAAAGATGTGTATCTTTAATCAAAGCAAGGAATTGTTTTACTAAACAAATTTTAATGTAATTAGCATAAATATTTAAAAATATATATTAAAATTTTTTAATTGACATAGATGTTTGTTGAAGGATTATATTTTTAAATATAATAAAAATATCCTAACTATGAGAAGGTTGTTTTTGTTGTCATTTCTTTTCTTTTTTTTTTTTTTTTTTTTCGATTTAACAAGTACCTTCTCTACTAATCCTTAGTTGACTATTGGAATAAAATAATGAGGGTATAAACAATCATAATCATTTATTCAAATTAGGATTGTGGTATGATAGGGCTGTTGTCTAACTACAACAAAAACTACTAATCCTTAGTTGACTATTGGAATAAAATAATGAGGGTATAAACAATCATAATCATTTATTCAAATTAGGATTGTGGTATGATAGGGCTGTTGTCTAACTACAACAAAAACTACAACTTGAGAAAAATTATTATTGTCAATCAAATTTTGAATCACTCTACGCTAATGACTATTCTAAATTATATTTATTAATTAAGCTTCTCCTTAATGTTAACACATCTTTTTGCAATCCATAGTTGTTTTTAAGGAAACAGAGATCAGATCAATATGTCCCATCATAAGAAGGCTAAGTTGGTAGTAATTTAATTTCAAGCCGAGAATTATAAATTAAATGTTTCAAAAAGCTGTCAGGAATAAGAAAGTAGCAGGTTACTGATGCCCAGATTGTAAAACTAATTGTAACAAGAGGAATAATTAATGTGGGGGAGGTTGCAATACCAAGAACTGATGCAAGTTAATTTGACTAGAATATGAATTCAACGGGTATTCCTGAAATGTTTATCAGCTAGTATAGGATAAAAATTTGTTTTATTGTAGCTGTGTTAGATTTATAGTTTATGTTATGTATTACAACAGATCGGATTAGTTAAGAGTTTAGCCGAAGAAAATCCACATTATTTCTCTAAAGAAAAAATAAATAAGTGTATGGGTATTTTTTTCTTATCATACATGCCTAAATTTTTTAAAATGCCATTGATTTCCAATAATATATTAGTATAAAAAAATATATAAATGCTCAATGAAAATTATTTTTCTTGTATAGTAATTTTACTAATTCTCGATAATTTAGATTAATATTTATTGTACTTTTAACATTTAAAAAAAAAAAAGAAAATATTTCAGAATGGTTGAACTATTAACTTCTTGTACTGATCATTTCCAAAAATTTCATTTGCTTATTGAATTAGATCATTTGTTGAAGTAAATTTAATTCTAATTATTACAACATCATCGGTTGATTAGGAAAAGTTAAGTAGCATTTCAGAAAATTAAGTCACTGTGTAATTTGATAATTTTCGTATTCAATTACTTTTTGAAATTAACTGATGTATATTATGTTTACTGGAAATATAAATATGGCCGATATTCCTTTGGTAGAGCCACAACCTTTATTAGTTAGTCATTGTAATTTTCTTAGCTGAAATAAGCATGGGGATAATATTATGTTTGTGTTCAGTAATAAATCAATCCAGAAAGTTTATTTTGGTTGTTTAGAATAAAATTATATCTAGATTAAATAAATAATAAAATTCTGTATAGATAAAATATATAAATATTCTATGAGAAGGAGTCAGTCGAGGGTGCGGTCAAATAAATAAAAAATTAAAATATATTAATTATTTTAATTTTTGCCGACGTTTCGACCCACTTTGCACAGGTCGTCTTCAGGGCGTAGGATGTGGCACTGCGGGAGGCAGTTGAAACACTGCCTATGTGTTTCAACTGCCTCCCGCAGTGCCACATCCTACGCCTTGAAGACGACCTGCAAAGTGGGTAGAAACGTCGGCAAAAATTAAAATAATTAATATATTTTAATTTTTTATTTATTTGACCGCACCCTTGACTAACTCCTCATATTATATCAACGGTCAATCATCTCTACATCATTATAAATAAATAAAAGTATTATAAATATTCTAAGATAAAAGAGGAAAAGTAAATAAAAATAAATTATAACAAAACCAAAATAAGTATGTAAATAGTACAACTAAATGATTTGTATACAAACAAATAAATTAAAAGTATGCAAACAACAGGATTAAGAATAAATGAGGTAAATTTTTTTAAATTATAAACTATAATAGGAATACAATAGACAATGTTTTTGGTAAGATTTAGTAACAAAAAAGAATACGAGTATGTGAAGGTTATATATTTTATCTATATATTATTTTTTGGTTGCAATTTTTATATTTTTAGTCCTGATGTTAACACACATTTTTTGCTTTGAATCATCGGCAAGCTTAATAAAACTTCAATGACTCCAAATCCTGATTATTTGTCAGCCTCATTTTTATTTTTATAAACGACTATTATTGAAAAACTATGTTCTTATACTTTAATTTTATATAACTATCCTAATAATTGTTCTTGATTTGATTAGTTAAAAAGCACACATAATTGTTTAAATATTCGATATAATAATTAAGAAAATAAATAATGTATTTCAATGTTTCTGAGTGAAATCTGGGTTATTTCCATGAATAATGACCATACATTTTTGAACTATGACTTTTTTTATTATTGAAATGTGGCACTTAATGTTAAGCTGCATATATAACTTTTAAACTTCAGTACTTTTTGTTATTAAAAAAAAAAATGCTTAATTCACATTAATCAGCTAGATCATTCTTTTAATTGGATATAGAACGCCTCTCATCATACCAACTTGAACATAAGGCCATAGTCCTGACACCTCGAGGTCTCACAAATCCTTCTAACTATTGCTACATCAACGCTACCCTTCAAGCGCTTCTTGCCTGCCCAGCGTTTTACAATCTCATCAAGGTGATATCGCAGGTGAAAGATGCTGCAGGTGGGCCACCTCCTGGTGCTTTGCCGCCAAAATCCAAGACACCCATCATCGATAGCATGTGAGTATAGGTATTTGACAGATTGATAATGTGATAATATCATTCAAGTAGAACTGCACTTTTCTCGCATTTTTACACTTAAATGCATTTCATACATATATTTTTTTATTGATTTGGCCAATAAAAATTATAACTACCAAATTAATTTTTTGTACTGAACGGAAGAAAAACAAAAGAAATAAATAAGATAATCATGTTTTAAAATCTATTTTGCAAAAAAGTTTAATCTATTCGGCTATTATTAAATTGTTTATTTTAATTTAGGTAATAGCCAAGTCTTGAAAAAAAAACCATTGAGGGCGTAATTGCCGTTTTCGTAAATATATATATATAAAAAAATATAACATTTTTTGTTTAATCAATAATTGTTTGATTGATGATAAAATTATTAATAGTTCACTCTTTTTGAGCTAGAGAAATTTGTAATAAATAAATGCCATAAGGTATTTTATATCTTATCGCTTATTTTAACAGAGAATGTCTACCTTTACTTTAGGCTCTTGGTCGTAGAACACGATAACTATAACATAATACAAATTTTTATAAGGTTAACATTTTTGTCAATTGTTGATTGAACTTGTGTGGGTCGTTAAGTGCCTGGTTAGGAACTTTAAAGGTTCAATTCCGAATTCTTTAATTAATTTTTTGGCGTCTACAAGGAATGAATCTTATCAATTTCACTTGGTACATGGCTGTAACGCAGGTAGATGCCAAGGGTTGAGAAAAAGACAAAGGAGTTGACAATCCCACTTGCAAAACTAGTTCTCCAACGAGTACCAGTACTATGTTCAACCAGTAGTTGCGTACCAACAGTTAATACTAACTTATCTCTTATATAAAACAGAACAAATTTCTACAGATTCATTTAATGATTTATGAAATTAGTGGTGCGGAATCCAGTGTTACCAAAAACTTTAATTAGCAAGAAGTGCGATTTATCATGTTTCTTGACAATGGTGCCTCATTTAAGGTTCACTAATTGATTCTTTTATTTACCATCAGACACTGCATGATATGAGCCTTTCAGTTGACAGAATGACGTAACTCAAATTTCAACATTTTTGTGATCTTTCTAACAGAAAAATTTATACTTTTATTCACAGTTCTATATTTCAAAACTGCAATCACCTACTCTGGAATCAACTTATTTACTGTCAGTACAGATATTATAAAATTTACAATTAAAAATATCACTAAACTGACTACTCAAAAATTTTGAAATTGAAGTTAGTCATTCTGTCAACATATATAAAATAGAATGCACATAATTTTGATGCACTTATATTAAACGAACGAAAATGTTTACTGATGATCTATAAGTCAACTATAACCTAATGAACAGTGATCAAAATGTCTTAAGTATGAAAAACAAACCTGGATACATTGTTGATCAAATTTTCAGCTGTTTGTTTTTAGGTGTAATTTATATTGGGCTATTTGCAAGACACTTTGAGTTTGTGGCAATTAGCTAACTGCTCAGGCGAAACATGTGTCTTTAAACTATTTATTGAGATTTCTTAGCACAGCAGAGATGAAGCATTCCAATAAACAATTAGAAGGAGGCAGCTTGTTTCTTCCACCACTGAAACTGATTCCCCTTTTTGTTCCCTTCCATTTTTCTTACAATTCAAAACATGACATTTTATTTTGGCCAACAATTTTTGTTCCATTCAATTCTTATCATGTGATGTATACAATGTTTCTATGTTTTGCCCCATTATAAATTTTTAAAATAAAAGACAATAAATCGATTTAATCCATCCCCTTCTCTCTTAAAATATAGAATATTAATACTAAAAGAATGAAATTCCAGTGACTCAAATCGGATAATTATTTTAACCTTACGTTAGTTTACTTTCATGCAGTCCATATAATCCACTTACATATTCCCCCAGTTGTTCCTACTCGGGAATTCCTAAAAGGAAAAAGGAATTTTAAGACAGTCATGTTTGATACTTGACCCTATACGCATAAAAGGCATTCATCGCGAAAACAAACATTATACTACTCAGAAACAAGACACTTCTTTGTTCAAATTCCACTCCGATGACGGAATACGTTTCTTAAACTGTTCCTCCAGTAATTCTTACTCAGCGTAATTTCTCACTTCTTACCATGTCATCAAAATTTAAACAATTAATCAAAAGATTGATTTTACATGGGAAAATAATGGCACAATAACTATAGTATATTTTATTTGCTGCAGTGATGTGATAAAAATACCTAATATTTATCATATTTTAATATGTTAAATATTCAACTGTAAATTAACAAATTCATAATTTATTACTACAAATAATTAAATCCTCATTAATTTAATGACTTTTAAGATGACTGTGCCAAAGAAACAAAAGATTGTATTTACAAATTATATCAATGAAAGACATCAGATCACATTAGTATCATGTCTACCTGAGGCCAAACTACTTGCCAGGAGAGGTAAGCTTAATGTTGATCCCCCCCCCCCCTCTTGTAGAAGTCAACATTTTATATTTATAACTATATTTTAAGTAATCTATTTCAAATTAAATATCATCTTGTAACAATAATTTATTTTGTCGACCGAATTTAAGGTCAAAAAAACACGCAAAAAAACAGAAACAAACATTTTTTATGAAAATAAATTTGCCACCCTTTGAATTCTGTCGTCTGAGAAATAGGATACCCCTTTGCTCCTCCCTAGTTCTGGTCCAGCTACCTCGTACAAATCAAACAGAAAATATGCGGTTAGCCTGAAAACAGTTACAAGTATTCTTTTGTTTTGATGTACCAATTTGTTTTATTTCTGTATACTCTACCTCTTTCCACACATGTAAATTACGATCTATTACCAGTTTTAAACTGTTCTTCTATTACTTCTAACACAAACGGGAAATCTTCCTCAACATTACCAACCAAGAGTAATTTGGCAATGTTGGAAACATTTTTATAAGATGAACCACATTAGAAGTGCAAATTGATAAAAATACCTAAGATAATAATATTTCAATAATTAAATTAAAATGCATTTATATTCAACTGTTGATAATTAAATAAGTGTGTATTATTTTATGGGTGGTCAATAAGGTGACTTTAACTTGATTTTTTTTTCTTCCAAATATGAAAACTGCTTTTCCTAGGAATAATTTAAGTGCAGGAAGTGCAGCATCGTAAATTCATTTCCTGCAACTGAAATCAAGGTTACTAAGTGCAGTTGTAGAAAGGTAGAGTCAAAGTACACTGCACAATGTAATTCTTTTGAGGATTTCTAATAAAAATGACTGAATTACTTTTGGCTGGTCTCGAGGAGGAAAGTATGACCGTGCCCCATTGTTTTTATATTAATAACTTGGCTCTGTCAGCTCCCTTCTCGAATCCAGATTCCTGGCCACAAACTCCTCCCTAACACATTCCTCCCAGATTTTTCTTGCGCTTCCTCGACTCCTTCCCTTGATTATATAATTATTAAAACAATCAAATATAATTTTTATCTAATCTAAATGGTATCTGATTGTAATACATTAAATGCCAATTATAAAGGTGACATTTAGAAATAAGTAGGTATTATTTATTATATGAGCCTTTTAGTTTACAAAATGATTAACTCCAATTTCAACATTTTTGATAATTAATTTTAGTGATATTTCTAATTGAACAATTTATATCTTTATTCACAGTTCTACCAATAATCATCATCATCTAAAACCACCTACTCTTGAATCAACTTATTCACTGTCTGTACTGATATTATAAATTTCCCAACTAGAAATTCACTAAAATGACTACTTGAAATTGTTGAAATCGGAGTTAGTTATTCTGTAAACTAAAAGGCTCTTATATTGATTATAGTAACATTTAATTCTTATATCACACCAAATTCTCTGATTTATGATTATCCACTTGAAGATTGACTTTAAAAACATTACACACAAAAATCTATGACAAACATTTTTAGTTCTTCAGTGTCCTCTTGACTAGAGGAAGAGATGGCTGATGACATGTTGGGCCTGTTCCTTGAGTGTTTATCATGTGGACCCCTTGATTGCCTGGTTCTGAACTTTGTGGTTTTGATTCCCACCTGGGTCGGTTAATTTTATTTTCAGACCGAATTCCTACTCTGGTAATAACGCAGCGGCAACCTCAAAGTAGCTTTCAAAGGTTGGCAGAAAAGAACATGTAGCTCATTTGCCGGACTATTTCTCCCCGCCAGTACCAGTACCAGTATCCTCTTGACCAATAAGATATTGTGAAGAGAGCTTATTATTTTTTAAGAGCTTATATTTTTTAAGAGCTTATTATTATATAAAATGGTTATAGGCTCAAAAATGATTAGTTGATAGCCCAAGAGCAAACATACAATAAGTTTCTAACGTTCTGTTATATTATTTATTAAATATAAAAAAATATTGATATTCATTGAAATATTACAGCATCTTTCAATATATCTATATATTTGTAAGTATTTTATAATCAATATCGTAGAGTTATGGGAAAAGAGTTATGATTTAATTTAAATTACCATTCTGGTATTTATTTTACTTTTAGATAGCTTTCATGTAGATATAATTAAAAAATAAGTTTATTAAAAGAAGAATTCTTTTAGAATTATAATCATGCTAGAAAATATTACTAATCTAAACAAATAGTATTTTTGTTCTCCTTAATACATGTATATATTTCTTTAGTTTTTCAATTTTAAAATTGTAAATGCTGACCATTATAATCAAGAAGGCATCCTAACCCCTTAAAATTGTTTCTTCATTGAGTATTGTTTTTATTTAAAAAAATAAAATTAAATAAGTATATTTGTCATCTTGATGTCTGACCATTTCCTACTATGACCTTGTGTCTAGGACCATGCGCAGCAAGTATAAATGGTTTACTTAATTCCGAACAAAGAAGCAAATTCTTTTTCCATAATTATGGTTTTGAGTGACAATAAAAACTTGGGTAGATCATCAACTTGCCCAAGAGATGGTAATGATACCTCAAAAGATACCAATATTATGAAAGAGATATATGGTAGTCCCATAAAAATATCTATAAGAATAAGATTTACGCTTGTTTAATATAATATGGTTGTACTTCAGAGATGGTAGATACACAAAATGGTAATTTATGGTGATTATATGTGTTATAATTTTTGCTTGGTAAAGAAGTGAAGAAACTTCTTATGGAATGTTTGTCATTCCCAAGTCAAGGCTGAACTAATAATAAAAGGTGTTAAATAGAATTTTTTATTGCAATCCTAAAAGTTCTAGTAATAACATGAGTACAATTGATTAATTCAACTTAATATTGGAATTGTAAATATTAATGTGAATGGAAAATAAGAGTAATTGAAAAAAAAAAAATCAGAAATGAATTTTCGATTAGGTGAATTATATATATATATTTTTTTGTTAACATATATGTATTGGTGTATATGAATTTTCGCGAGATGCGGGACAGAAGCCTTTATTCATGTTAGACTATTAATTACAATATTAAGTTCTTTTAAACATAATATTTTATTTGATTCTGTAAGTCATTTAGTTGATGTAATTTTTAAGGGTCCAGTTTATTAAGGAGTTCTCTCCTGCTCCTGTAAATCGGAGTGGTCGTCGGGAAAAGGCCATTTGGAAAGATAAGGAAGACTTGGACATACCTGTTGGGCCAGCATTTGAACCTACTTATGTCTATAAGATGCTACATGCATTGAGGAATGAAACAGCATTCCAGGTAAAGTACAACAGTTAATAGCTTTATATTATCTAGTTAAATTTTCTTTTAAACCAAAGTTAAAAAACAAATCTGCAATCAATCAAAAGAACTCATCGAGCCATCAAATTTTGTTTATTTGTTATTAGAAAGAAGTTTTTTAAGAGCCCAAGATGGTTGAGGAAAAGTCTCAAACTTGTAGTAAGGCTGCCACTGATTCTCACTATACCCCAATAATCCCAACGGAGTAGTACTCCACATAGCATCAACATAATGTTATTTACATAGCATGAAATCCTATGTGAATTTTTTGAAGTGATACGAATGAGTGCTGGAATTCCATTGGTCCTAAACTCTACCCTACTATGCCAAAATCCAATCACTCCAATCCTACCATGAATGTGGAAAACTGAGGAAGTGGAATGATCAACTACACAGTTTTTAGATGAATCATTTAAGTACTCCAGTAACATTATTTTATTATATCATTTAAAGTGGCCGTCAGAGGCTGTCTGGCTTTACAGTTCACAATTATAATTTAACCTAGAGCGAAATTCGTCTCAAACTTAACTTATTCAGGAAAAAAATAGTTTACAACATGTTTAATTTCTATGAATGGGTTATATTAATTATTATTTGACTTTCTTATTTTGTTTTTAAGGTTGAAGGCAGGCAAGAGGATGCAGAAGAATTTTTATCCCTTCTCCTCAATGGTTTGAATGATGAAATGCTTGAGGTAAATTACTATGGACATAATTCTAAAAATTAATATTAAGGTGGTTCTTTAAATAGCTAATTGACTAACACATATTATAATGTGCTTAGCAGCAATATTGATTTGAATTTAAATTAGTAAATTAGACCATTATCAGTTGTTTTGCCTTCTTTGATATAACAATTTTATTTTAGAAAATTTTAGCTATTAGAAGAAATAAATAATTGGTTCCTGGACTTAGTAGATCTTCAGGTAATTGCCTTCTTATCTTTTTCTACTAAACCTGTGGTTCTCAAATTTGTATTGCTGTGGCATTCTTGTGCTACAAAATAATTGTGGCTTCCTTGTCAAGCTAAAAAAAACAACCTCCTCAGACTAAAAAAAAAATCATGGCATAGTTCTCTTTAAAGTGGTTGGTTATGAACATAATAGATATAATCTTGTATTTAAATTATTTTAATTTTTTCAATAATAAGTAAAAATTGTCTTCACCAAATTGACAATTTTGACCTTATTTAGAAATATTTAATATTATTGTAGCAGTTCCCCTAGTATATGCATTCAGCACCCCAGATTGCCGTGGCAACCAGCTTGAGAACCCCTGAACTAAACAACCGATCGAGGAAAATATTGTGTTGTAAAATAATTTGAGTCATTGAGGGTTGGATATATAATGATTTTATTATTAACTATCAAGTTTATGTTTTAAACATAAACATTAGTGAATTATAGTTTTAGTTATAAGTGAGCGAGTTATTTATTGTATTTTTTATAGTTGGTGAAGCTTGTTGAGGAACCAAAGGAGGTCCCTGTTGTCAATGGAGATGTTACCGCCAATGGAGAATCCCATGATGACAACTCCGATTGGAAGGTATTAATAACTTATTTAATTAGTTTTATTTACAATTTAAGTATTTTATTAAGCTGTTGTTCCTCTGAATTATTAATTATTCTCAGTGCTTTGTTATATTCCTAATTTAAAAAAAATCACCGATTTTTTAATTTCAATATTAATATTTTCCTTAGTTTATGAATAATTATTTTGTTAGCCCAGTTTTAAATTCTTTTTATACTCATTTCTTTCTTTTGTTTAGATTAATTTTTGTTTTAAATAAAAACAATATCGATTCAGTAATATATATTGATGTAACACTTACCACTTATAATTTGCAACATACATTTACGTAATGTTTGTACAAATTATGGTGGCAGAATAATTACCACAAAAAAAAGAACTTTGTTTTGAAGTTTTTTTTGAGGTAAGCATTCCTGAGAGTTGAATTAAGCTCACTTATAGCTTAAGTCTTAGAAAAGGAAAGTACATTTGGTTAATGTTAATAGCTACTGTATAAAATGATGTTTGGTGTCTAGGGTATTCTATGTTGTGACAACATTTGGATTGGTTTTATCAGAATTTCTTTCTTAGTCCATGTGGTTGTTTTGCAGGTTTGTAAGTATGAATCTGGAATTCGTCTATTAGTGGACTCTATTTAATGTGTAATGTAGTATTTTAATGGTAACTATATACACATTGTTGACACCATTTTGTTTCTTCGACAGCTAGCAAAGATTTTCAAAGATCAATACTAGTCTTGTAGATCAGAATTGTTTTAACAGTGTTGAACATGTTGAGTGTTGTGAATTCAACCTATGATTTGCGGACAGCATTAGTTTTAAAAACAATTTAGATTCAGTAATATATATTAAAGTAACACTTACCACTTATAATTTGCAACACACATTTACGTAATGTTTGTGCAAGTTATGGTGGCAGAATAATTACCACAAAAAAAAAGAACTTCGTTTTGAAGTTTTTTTTTGAGGCAAGCATTCCTGAGAGTTGAATTAAGCCAATTTTAAGCTTAAGTCTTAGAAAAGGAAAGTACATTAATTTAATAGTTCTTTAATTTTTGCTGAGTAAATGCTTGGAGTCGAGAGTATTTCGTATTTTGTTAATATTCGGATGGATTTAATCAGAATTGCTTTCTTAGCCCATTTGGTTGTTTACTTCTTTTTTAGCGTAAGGGGGTGAGCAGCCATGAACTCCACTCTTCTCTGATCTTTGCTAAGTTCCTGGCTCGACAGAGATCTTTGCAGAGTCCATCGATGTACTCCATATATGGCTTTCTTGGACGTTCTCGAGGTCTTTTGCCATCCAGAGCGTAGTCCATCATCTTCATTGGGTCCCTATGTCCCTCCATCCTAATCACATGGCCAAACCATTTCAATTGGCGGATATACAGAACCTCCTTCAATGAGGAGACCCCCAGCTCCTTGCGTATATTTTTGTTACGAACCCAATCCCTCCTAGTCTTACCGATTGTTATTCACAGATATTTCATTTCAGTCGATTTCTCTGCGGATGTCATTGACACTATCTGTCGTGTTATTACTCTGTTGCTTTGAATAAAAATAAACTGACAAAAACAACTACAAGCATTGCATAGAGGATTACAATGGGTTGTTCTTTTATAACATGTTGGACTTATTTTTTATTTTTTCAGGCAGTTAGTAATTTTTCACTGAGCTGTTGAGAATTACTAGTATTTGGCTGTTTGTTTATATAACTAAAAAGATTGACTACATTTTTCCCAACCCTAGTTGGTCGTTCGTCGTATATTCGTTAGAATATACCTAGGTCGGTTGGAATATTAATTTTCCAGATCATCTATATTTAATGTTTTTCATACTCATTAAGAAAAATAAAGATAGCTTGAAAGACACACACACATATATGCGTGATGTGATGATATGGAGCCTTACCCAAGGGGAACGATGTAACATGTTTGGTTTATTTTTTATTCATTTATTTTTTCAATTACTAAGTAATTTTGCACAAATTATTAGGGAGGAGAATATACCATCGTATACATAGTATGGTATGTTAAAGTAACGATTGTTGACCTGCTTGACATTGCACATTCTTTACTTTAATGTGGTGGTGATGATATGTGTGTTAATATAATTAAAATGATTGACTAAATTTTTCCCAACCCTAGTTGGTTATTCTATTTATATTAGAATATACCTAGGTCGGTTGGAATATTAATTTTTCATGTTGTCTCCTTTATTTAATGTTTTTCTTATTCATTAAGGAAAATAAAGATGGCTTGAAAAACATATACACAATTTTTCTTTAGTGAATTGATATTTGTGGTAATTATTTTTAGTCTGAATTCGGAATGGTTATAAATCAGAATGTTGTTCATTATTATTCAAATAAGGAATATTCCATTGATTAATTTAAGCTTAAAAATGGTGTTTTCTTGCGCTTTCCAGGAAGTTTCTAAGGGTGTCAAGAGTGGCAGGATCACCCGTAGAGCAGAAATGGGGAAGACACCCCTAACTGAAATATTCCGTGGTCAGATACGTTCCAGACTACAAAGAGCTGACGAAACAACCGACTATGTCCAGCCATTTTTCACCCTTCAGCTTGACATTGAGGTGAGCCTATGCAGATAAAAATCTTATTTTATATGAAAATTAAAATTTTAATTAGGGTTAAAATAGTTTTTAAAAGTTATCTGATAATGTATTCCATATGGAGTCAACAAGTATACTGCATTATAAGTATATATGTGTTAACCTGTGGTAGATTAATAAAATGTTTACGGGTTTGTGACATCTGTGTTTTTACAGATTTCATTAACTTCAAAACTTCAGTCTGTTAGTAATTAATCTGAAATATTGTTATTTCAGGAATACCTGGCAGACTTACACAATTATTATATGGAATAACTTTTATAATTATTATTATTAGGACATATCACTTATTGTAATAATTTTTCAAAATATCACTTTTATATAATGGTTATTTTTACAAAGATTATGATCAATGGTCTGTGTATCAACTTGCTTCAGGTTACAGCTCATTTTATAATATATTTTATCGTGTATTAATTTTTTTCATTTATTTCTGCTTTATTAGTTTAAGGTTCATATTCTTCACTTACATTGTTCCATTATTTCCCATACTTATATAGTCTAATTGTGAAGTGACCATAATATTCTCATAGAGGCCAATTTTACGTTTTGGGTCCTGAATGGTGTATTCAAACAACGTAATAAAGCAGTAAAACAGTAGAAGATATAAATATTTTCTTTTTTTATACAAATAATTATTATCATAACAGGCCAAAATTTATTTCTTGGGTTAGTGGTTTTTTATTTTATTTGTTTGAGCACCTTAATATTTTGTATTTGTAATTTTAATTTTTTTACTTTATTAGTGCGTAGTTGATTTTTAAGTTTTATTTTTTGTTACTTTTATTTCAAAGCATCTAAATTATTAAATAGAAAAATCATACATATATATACATTTTTTTCTTTGATGATTCTTAGACATTCTCTCTCAAAACCCCTGAATGTTTTGACGGATTTATAATTAATTGCATTGTTTAGTTTGTCATATAATTTAATATTTTATATTTAGCTCTTAATTTTTCATGTGTTGTTTGTATTTAAATGAATACTTATGATTTTAGTACTTTTAATTAACAGTAGTAGTAGTAGTCATTTGTAATAACTCCAATTTTATTCACATAAATTATTTTTTTTGTAATTAATATTTATATGATTTTTAACCAATTTTTTCCCATTTCTGTTGTACTATTTTATATTGACAACTTTTATTCTATAAATTATTAGACTATTTTGTATACAAATATTCATAGTTTTTGTTTATTTCATCTATCTTTCTAATTCATTTAAACATGAAGTGCAAATTGTATGCGTATAATTATAATCTCCGCAGGCACATCTATATATCAGCTAGCCCTCACATTGGCATCAAGATGTGTCCCAAGTGAGGTTCCTCTTTAAGCTGCTCTTAGCAGTTTCGCATTCACAGGCGAGTTCCCAAGCCATAAAATGCGTAGGCATTGTAGTTATCCATAGTGGTATCGAAAATAGGTATCTTTAAAGGAGCCGATACCACGCCTTAATGATGCATCTTAACCGATTAATACAAAAGCAAAATTCCTTTTCAACTGTAACATGGATCAAAAAAAGAAAAGCTTATCATGTGAACATTCACCCGTAGGAATTTTAATAATATTGAGCAAATACAAATACTGACTTAATTGTTCATCTTTTTTACTTTTGTTAAGAAATCTCAGTCATGATACTTAAAGAATAGTTTTAATAATGATAATAAGAAATATCATATCATATCAGACTTTTAAACTGAAATTAATTAAAGCCACTGTATGGAATAGTGAAAATGCATGACTTACATTACAAGATTCCCTTATCATCAGTTAAGACTTCCCAGGTCTTGAATTAATTATTGAGGCTCAGGAAGCTAACAATCTTAGAACAATTTATTCAGGAGGAGTAGGTAGCTATCCAGATAATGAATAATAAATGACTAGTTGTTCTGTGCGAATAATTTGCAGAAAATTTTCTGCAGTGAAGAAATATTAAAACAATATGGGAATAAGTAGAATCCTATGTATTATGTAAGGAAGGAATTGATATTTTTTCATTCGTCGATTACAGTAATCCATTTAACATAATAGACCAAAATATCTGTTCAAATTCCTTTGCTAGGTTGTATTTTTAAATACTGACTGGAAAGATAATAAAGACAAAATAAAGCCTCGATCATGAGATTTTCTAAATAATTAAAAAAAAGAAAATGTAAGAACAAACAAATGCCTTTAAGAAATAATAAAGCTAATATATCAGCGAGGAAAAAAATGTAGTAGTATAGTAAATTCAATATCTTTAAAGAGGAAGAAATTATTAAGTATACCAAAACTAATGGACTTTATCTTTGTTAATAATTGTCTGATTTTTTTTTTTATAGGTAATTTAGTAATCTTTCTAATTATCATTGATACAATCAAGAAAAAAATGCATACTTTTTGAGTTATTCGCAAATAAAGTTTGTTTTTCTTCATAACGTTTTTCCAGAACTTTCGGAGGGATAGGACTATTTCAATGGAAGCACATTTTCGAAAAAAAAAAAATCTAAGGGGGCCTTAGGTCAAATTTGTAGGAATTTTTTTTTTATGTTTTGTTTGCAATGAAAATTCATATTCGAGGGTCTTTCGAGATGTGAAATACAAATCTCAACTCTGTTTCTCCTTAAAAAAATATTTCAACTCTTTAATCGGTCGGTTCAAATTTTACAAATTTCTAATAGATTTTTACGATTTTTTGTTTTGTAGGTAATTTAATAATCTTTATAATTATCATGGGTACAATCCATAAAAAAATGCATACTTTTTGAGTTATTCGCAAATAAAGCTTCGGAGGGAGGAGGGGGGGAGGGGTAGGACTATTTTTCGCATGTGAAGGAGAAGAATGAGTGGTCAATCATTAGATTTGATGAAGAATTGACGAAGTTATGACATACCGACAAAAAACACCTTTTAGAAATAATACATAGAATACTAATGAGTACTTCTAGAAATGATTAGCTAAGTCACTTAAATGAATATTTGTATCTATAATCGCTTCTTCTGCTCTTGATTCTGTTTAATAATATTTTTTTATGTAATGAAAATTAACAACTGCTATATCAGTGTGGTACTGATTGATTCTAGTATTTTAAAATAGCTTTATTTATTTTTAAAAAATATTTAAAATTAAAGTGTATGAAGTTATAAAAAAAAAAATTGTTTTTATTTCTCTGAAAAATTGAACTTTGTACCAAATTTTTGTTTACACTTATTTTTGTATGATAAATATAGTTCATTTGTTTTTTAACTTTGAAATGTTACTGTAAACCATTTTTGTATTTAAAAAAAAATAATGGTAAAATAATCAAAGTGATTAAATACTTAAGAAATTTAAAAAAAAATAAATAAAATTAAAGATTTTTTTTTCTGAGATTTCTGAATTATTGTCTTATTAATTGATGAATGCCCGTTTACAGTCTTCCGACTCAGTGCCCCAGGCTCTAGAGAAATATTTCGGATGGGATCAGGTTGAGGGTGCAGGTAGTAGCGGAGGTTCCGGTGGCGATGCTTGGCAGCAGCACTACCTTGAGGAACTCCCTAATGTCCTCATACTCCACCTCAAATGTTTCCTCTACAAGCAGCAGTCTTGCCATAAGATAGTTAAAGCTCTGGAGTTTCCTGTCGATCTGAAAATTGATCCAAGTAAGTGAAAATAATTTTTTTACTAACTAAATTTAGTTAAAACATTTCACTTCTCAGAAATATCAAACCAACCAATTTCTATATTAACTTTAATTTAAAACTGAACTGTTTTTCTGAATATTTACTTTTTTTACTTATTTATTGAGAAATATTACAATCTGTCTCAATTAAGGACATTTATAATAGTGTTCAGAGAGCACATTCACACTCTATATACAATAAATACAAATAAGCATCAAAATAATGGCACTAAAAGTAAATTTATATAACAAAAGAAGCTAAACTAATTAAAATAACAACTTAAATATAAGCACACTCTGAATAAATTAGAAAAGACTTCATTCGATTGGGGTAACCAAACAAAAACAACCCATATTTGGTGTTGGGGATAGTATTTGAATTTACTTATTGAGAAATTCTCCAGTTCTTGTTGATTTTATTAATGGTTTATGATTTTTTTTTTTTATTAAGTGCAAAACATTGAATAAGGTCGGCGGGGTGGCAGAATGGGCTAACGCGTGTTCACTGCACCGCTGTTGCCCGGCAACCTGATAAATGAATCAAAGATATAAAAATAGACACGAGTTCGCTTCCCGGTGCCGGGAGAGTCTTTTAAATCCCCGCTCATATCCCCTGGCCCGAGAAAATCTCGTATAGCCTTAACGGCGAGGAAAAAATGTATTCAAATAATTTTTCTTGAAAAATCTAATATGATTATATGATTCAAAACCTCTTATTTACTGATTGTTTGGGGTTTTTATTTGCTAATATTTTGTAGCATTTTTAATATATATTTTTTAACATTTTCTATTTTATATTACAAAAGGCATATTAAAATAAACTAAAAAAATGTTGACAAACAACATTCATGTCTGAAATGATATTAAAATTAATTCTAATTTTTTTTTGTTTTTGCAGAGCTTGTTTCTAATAAAAATAAAGGTAGTGGTAAAATGAGGCAATACAAGCTTTTTGCAGGTGATTATTATTATTTTTATTATTTTATTAGTATTTTATATTATTATTATTTATATTATTAGTATTTTAAACAATAGTTAATTATTTTCTTAAACTTGAAAGGTATAATAGTTACATTTTATTAAGTCAAATCTTGTTTTAATTGTTCATTATTAGTATAATGTTTTATGATTATTAATTTTTATTAGTTCTTAAAGAATACAAGATGCTATAAATTATTCTTTTAATACTTTTTAAATTGGTTATTTTAGAGTTATATTATATGGTCATTAATTTTTACGTGATCTATCTCATTTAACTTGAGCTTTTAATATTAGTTTTAATAAGTTGATTGCCACGCAAGTCAAGGACGCATGTAGTTTGCAGTATCTGTGCAGATTAAAATAAATAAGTTAATAAGAACTTATTTTTAGTTTTGTATAATACAATTGTGTGGTTAACACTGTTAACATGATAACTGAAGGATAACCATAAATATTGATCTTGATAAATTTAAAATTTATTTATTTTTCTTCATAAGATCGAAGATTAGACTATCATTAAATCCTAAAACAAGTTATGTCACTATCTTAATTTTAGTTGTCAATCAAATTAATATAATGTTGTAGAGATGGTTGACCGTGCTGTAATATGAGGAGTTGGTGGGGGGAGGGTGCGGTCAAATGAATAATACATTTTTTAAAATAGTATTTTAATTGTTATGCCGACGTTTCGATCCACTTTGTTGGTCTTCATCTGGACGTAGTATACCAGTTGATCTACTGCTTCCTGCAGTGCCCGATATTACGCCTATTTATTCCACCGCACCTCCCCTCCCTCCCCCTCTTCCCCGACCAACTCCTCTAATTAATATAACTTTGAAATGTTCTTTACATGTTCCTGTACTTATTTTTTGTCATTTTGGCTTCTAGCTTATTTTGTTGGTATAATTAAATAAAGTTTTTTTCTTGTTAAATATATATTGTGTATAAATATAAAAAGTATGGATATCATTGAACTGGTGTTTGTATTTTTAGTGAAGTAAGAGTTGTCTAGATTACTGAAACTTTTAATAATGGATTCAGCAGATAAATAGAATTTTATCTTAAATAAATATTGAAATTTATGAAGTTAATTGGCTCTTTTACTCTTTTCTCAAATAAATATGTGGTAAAAAATTTTTAGATTTTAAGTTCTATTTGAACCCAGGTTCTAGCCTCCTTATTCATTTGAAAAAACATGACTAAGCGTGCCAAATCTGGGAATAGTAATTAATGTCTCTCTTTATTTCTCATAGCATTAAGGTAATTGCTGTGGGAACGGAAATGACTGACATATTAAATTTCATAAAGTGAACTTATTGGTATTTAATTATTTAGGTTACGAAAATAAATAGAATAAGTTTATTATATGTATATGGGTATGTGTTTAGTGATAAATAAAAATAGCAACAGTAAAATATAAAAAATTGTTCCTCCTCCATTAGAACCATCTAACCTTACTGTGGCCTCTAATGATAAAACGGTTCCCCTCCTATCATCTAGTTGTTTAAATTCATGTTGGATACATTTTCTGTTTATTGGATATCTATTTTGCATATCGTAGCTGATAAAGCATTATATACCACGGATATTTTTGTTGGGGAATATTGAAAGAGATTAAGCTATTAAGATTGAAGCCCTCCAAAATAAAACATTAATTTTTTTTTATTGGTCTATAATTGTTTCCGTGAGTTATCTGAGCCTGAGCTATATACTTAAATAATCACAATATGTACTATTTTTGAATTATAATTTACTAAAAGTTAGCACTTCTTAAGAAAGTATGTATCCTTAAAAACATTATTGTTCCTGTAATTAGCGAATTTTAACTCGCTTTCAAGGACTACTTAAACATAATTTTATATTGATTAGTTCCTTTTCTTCCAAAGTAATTACAAAATTACAACTAAAAAAAAAAGATCCCCTCAAAATCAAATCCTGAATCCGCTACTGCACTTAACTTAACATTGATACTTTAACCACTTGACAATGCTTACAATTTATTTGTTCATGGAATTTTGTATAACTGTCGAAACTTTTCCTTATAGATATAAAAGAAGGCAGATGACTGAATGGCATTCAACATTTTTTAGTACTAAATTTATTTGAAAAAAAAATCCTGTTCTGATAAATCAAATGGGATATGCCTGCATAACTGCAGACTTTTTACATTTCATGAAGTTTAAACAAACCACACCATTTTAATCAAGTCAAATCCTATATAAAAATAGATAACAAAAAATATTTTTTTTATTTTTGCATTTGTAGCGTCTTGTGAAACCATTTCACAGTTTTTAATTTAATAAAAATGACCAATTTCATGATTTATGGTCATTACATAATAAGTTATAAGAACATTACGAGGATATTACAATTAAACTAAAATTTTTATACTTATAATTAATTAATGTTTTCATAACTTTCCAGTGGTTTACCACGATGGTAAAGAAGCTTCAAAAGGTCATTATTTGGCTGATGCTTTTCATGTCGGCTCTAGTGGCTGGATCCGCTATGACGATGCTGTTGTAAAAGCAGTGACTGAAGGCACCATGCTGAAACCTAGGCCACCTCGTGTCCCCTATCTCCTTTATTATAGGAGGGCAGATACCATTGGCCAACATACTCAGTTACCGAGGTAATAAAATTTCTTATATTATAAATATGTTTTTGAAATAAAAACTTCTTTAGGTGTTTTGCTCTTTTTTGTGGAGAGTGAATTAGATCTGTAAGATTTCCGATGCATAAAGCTCGGGTAAAGTCGACTGGAGTCTACTTATTGAAGTGTTTTTGCATGTGGATTAAAATATCTTAGAAACCGAAGAATCGGATCTGCCTACTGTAAGCGAAGGAATTGTTCAGTATTTCATCCTATCTGTAATGTGCTTAATGTTATGCCGTATTAGGGAGGTGACAAGAAAAAATAGTGTCAAAAACCAAATGATGAAAACGAGTTTTATTGAAGATATGGATTAAAATATCTCAGAAACTAAAACATCGGACCTGCATACTGTAAGCGAGGGAAATGCTCAGTATTTCATCTTTTTTTATAATGAGCTATTATTTATAATTTATATTTTATATTATTAATCTAACACTTGCTATCTGTGGTCTAAAGCACACACCTTACTTTTTTTTCTATTATGGTTTACTCTTGTTAGTCTAAATTAAGTCTTAGGGGTCCAAACAAAAACGTTTATTTATAAAGGTTTTTCAGATGAAAGATGGTTTGATTTATAAATGTTAATCAGATTTCAAATATTAGTTTTATTATAGATAAGTTTTTACAGTTCGGTTCTTGCAACAGGTTCTTATTTAGCTAAAAACTTGAAATAACAGTATGTGTGGACGATATGGCCTGTGTCTACTGTGACGTCACATATATGGCTGCTAAACATGTTGCTCTGAAAAATCTCTTAGCACTGTATAAACATGGATTTTAAAATAAATATTTCTATTCAGAAATAATAGGGTGAAAGAAAAAAAAAAGGAAAGATGTTTCATGGATGGATATTTTGAAGTTAAAAACACTATTCTAAGCTAAAAGGTATAAGCCAATAATATGAGCTAGGCGCTGGCAGGGCATCATATGTCGAGTCTCCACTCGTAATGTTGGTCCGCTCCCACCAATTTTCTTCTTCTCTATCTTTCTCTCATGCCATGTCTATCCAACATGGGTAGATTGAAAGGTTGACATTTAATAAATTGTTACCACTTTTTTTATGTTATTTCTGATAGACTTCTAGACTAGAGATGGGCAAAATTGTACTCTGAGTAAAAAGTACAATTACAGAGTAATTTACTCAAATACTCGCCCGGTTCGAGTATCGAGTACTTCAATCACTACTCGACCTCATGATTGACGAGTACAAAAAGTAATCAGCTGTCCTCGTGAGTACTTTCTATTTTCAAATCTACTCAGCAATATTTTACTCTGAGTACTTTTCAAAGTAATTGAGTATTTCATTATAAAAATTACAGGAATAGAATATTTAATATTTCTTCCATATTTAAGACCATTATTATCTTATGGGGGTATAGTTTTTTAAAATAGTATCGATATTAATGTAAATCGATAAAATAAAGAATTATTAAAATATTTTGGATTTAATAAACTTTGGGGACCATTTTTTTTTTTTTTTTTTTTTTTTTCTACACCATCTGACTTTTATGATAATGCTGTCGGATTTGAGAAAGTGCCACCGGGGCCCAACGTTTTGTAACTTTTCGGATTATATCGACATCAGGGTCAAATATTAGGTTTTGGGGGGGGCGCTTTTTATGAAAATGATATCGAACTTGAGATTGGGCCCCCCGGGCCCCAACTTTTTTTAACTTTTTGGATTAAATCGATATCAGGGTCGACTCTTATGTTTTGGGGGGAGCTTTTTATGAAAATGACATCGAATTTGAGATTGGGTCCCCCGGGCCCCAACTTTTTTTAACTTTTGGGATTAAATCGATATCAGGGTCGTCTCTTATGTTTTGGGGGGTGCTTTTTATGAAAATGACATCGAATTTGAGATTGGATCCCCCGGGCCCCGACTTTTTTTAACTTTTGGGATTAAATCGATATCAGGGTCGACTCTTATGTTTTGGGGGCGCTTTTTATGAAAATGACATCAAATTTGAGATTGGATCCCCCGGGCCCCGACTTTTTTTAACTTTTTGGAAAGTTAAACATAAGAGTCGACCCTGATATCGATTTAATCCAAAAATTTAAAAAAAGTCGAGGCCGGGGGATCCAAATCTCGAATTCGGTATCATTTTTATAAAAAGCGCCCCCCAAAACATAAAGAGTCGACCCTGATATCGATTTAATCCAAAAAGTTAAAAAAGTCAGAGCCCAGGGGGCCCAATGCCGAATTAGATATCATTTTCATAAAAAGCGCCCCCTAAAAGATAAGAATCGACCCTGATATGGATTTAATCCAAAAAGTTAAAAAAATTCGGGGCCCGGAGGGCCCAATCTCAAATTTCATATCATTTTTATAAAAAGCGCCCCAAAAACAAAATAGTCGGCCCTGGTATCGATTAAATCGGAAAAGTTATGAAAATTTGATGCCCGGGGGTTCAGTCCTGAATTCGATATCATTTTCATAAAAAGCGCCCCTCAAAACATAATAGTCGAGCCTGATATCGATTAAACCAAAAAGTTAAAAAAAGTCGGGACTCGGGGGTCCCAATCTCAAATTTCGTTTCATTTTCATAAAAAGCGTCCCCCAAAACATATTAGTCGACCCTGATATCGATTTAAATCAAAAAGTTAAAAAAAGTCGGTGCCCAGAGGACCCATTTTCAAATTCGATAACATTTTCATAAAAAGCGCCCCCCAGAACATAATAGTTGGCCCTGGTATCGATTAAATCGAAAAAGTTATGAAAATTCGATGGCCGGGGGTACTATCTCAAATCCGATAGTATATCTTTATAAAAAGGGCCCACCAAAACATGATGGTTAGTCTAATATCGATTAATGGTTAGGGTTGGTCAGGTCGAATATGGCCGCTATTATTGAAGGAAATAAAAGAAAACATTTTTACTCTTTATAATAATGACGGAGTAGTTGAAAAATAAAAAGTACTCTTTGTAGGAATTCGGCTGAGTACTTTCTGTAATTCGATATAACAGCTCGAGTATTTTCTGTACTTAACTAAATCATGATTAACGCTGCGTGAGTACTCTCAGTACTGGCCGCTGCCAGGCCGAGTACAGAAACTACTCGATACTTTTTCCTAATAAAATTACTCAAATCATGAAAGTAATCGAGTACTGCCCATCTCTATTCTAGACTATCTCACTCTTGATTAACCATATAGACAACCAACGACACATTAATATGATTTTTCTATTTATTTATTATCATTGATTTAATTTTTATTTATGATTTTGATTGTTAACAAGTGATACCTCGTAACTATACAAACACTAAAATAAGATTCTGATGTGAAATAATTAATTATTACATCACTTTATATGTTTTAGTATAATTTCACTGAAAAATACCCTAGACCTGAATGGTTTTTAGTTGAGGTTTAAAACAGTCTTTTGCTTTTACTGTAAACTAGTTGTTTTGCATGTATGAGGTATAACTTTTTAGCCATTGGTATAATTCAATTCAATATATACATAAAGTTTACAAATTAATAATTATTATATTGTTTTAGGTAAAGGAGGAACACCTTTGGCCTTAATGGTAATATATGTCATGAACATAATTGCTTCTTGGGAATTATTTATGTTACGTTTTACATATGCATGTATAAACAGCTGTTTTGTGGAAATACATGTTTATGTATGTATAAATACATAAATATAAAAAAAAAATAATGAAGATTTATAATAACTCTAAATAATTACCAAATATAAATGAATGAATTATCTGAGTAAATTTATGAATTTATATTTGTGTAATACTCTTTACACGAATAGTGACTAATATTTTTAGTATATATTGTAGCTTTATTTTTAGTAATTACATTTTGATTTAGTGGTTTCCTGTATCTTGTTATTTTGCAAGCATTCAATGTTATAATTTTCATTTCTTAGAAAATATAGACTGATGTATGAAAGCCTTAGGAATGTACAGTTTAGATAAAATTATCTAGAAATAATATTTCTAATCCAAATGCTTTATATAGATAAATCTTTTTAAAGTAATCCTGGAATCGCAGTGATAATAATGATAACGGAACAGTATTGATGACCTGTAGTTGGTATAGGGAACCACAAAACTTTCTGGATTATAGCTTACAAGTTATATACTTCTTCTGATTAATTTTTTTAAAGTTGTGTTTATAAAATTAATGGCTCTTAAATGCCAACATTATTTGATTATAACTCATAAAAATATGAGCATCAGTTATATATTTAGCCATTTATCTCTCAAATACTAAATATATACATACACAATTTATGTATATGTACGCTCGTACACATGTGCAAAGTTTTAATAAATTACTGATGGTTCCTATTCGTTTTATTTAAGAGCCATTGATTTAAGTGTTATGTTTGTGCCCTTTACTTGTTAGTTTTTTCTAATAATTATTATTTTTATTCTAATATATGCTCTTAGTGAATGTATAAATCCATTTTGTTATAACTATAAATTTAGAATTTATAGTATTTTTTGTTTTGTTTTTATTATTAAGAACAAAAAGACTACAATCTGTTTTGGATATAGGAAAAACAAGATGATTTTAAAAATTTTATGGTTTCCAAACAGTTTTTAATTTTTTTAAATTTTAAATAAATGTACAATTCTTTTGATATGGCATCTTACAGACTGATGGAAATAAAAGAGTAATGTAAATTTAGTTTTATACCAATATGTCTAACTTCGTTACAATTAGATATAATGTTAAGTTTTTTGCATATTAAGCTCAAGTTTTATTCGGTTTGCTTAAGTATCATCTGTCTACATATTTAATGCTCCTGCTCACTCTTCATAATGTTTAAATTTACACAAATTTTATTTCGGAAATAAGAAAAATAAAAACTAGAAGTTCAAGAGTGATAACTTTATTTCTTATTTATTTCAAATTTTTGTTTTTATCTTAACAATAAAATTATATATATTCTATTTTTACTAATTTAATAATGAATAAAAATAGTATGCTTTTTAATTGATAACATTAAGAGACTGTTATGGCTTGTTACAGACTCATTGTGCAAATATATTTATAATTTTATTGTATGTGTTTAGAGTAATTGCCTTTTGCGCTGTGCTGTTATTTATCAATGTTAATATATTAATAATAATAGTAATTTTAAGTATTACTGTACATTTGCAACAAACAAGAATCCTTGAAGACGTATCGGTGAAATCTTTTATCCTTTGGTATATATTGATATTTACATTTATTTATTTTTTAATTATTTTTTCTTAACGGTTAGTATAAAAACAGAAAAATGTGATATAGCTGTTATAAATTTCTTTATGGCAGGACAAGATCTCCTAATATGTCTGTTTCTTGTATGTTGTGAATTTGTACTTAAAGGTTATAAAATATATTTAATTGAAATAAATTAATAATATACTGTAAATATGATGATAGGCTTAATAATTGTTTGTAACATAGGATGTTTAATTTAAAACTGGTAAGACTTCAAATATTAGGTCTATTTTGTGGCCTATAGTAGTTTTTTTTTCATTATTATTTTTTAAAAATGTTCTCTTGCTTTTTGGTTATTTCTAGTCAATTCTGGTAAACACTAGGCTTGTTTTATATTTACATATGATGTCTCAAATATTAAAAATGATTTTTTGTTATGATTTTTTTTTTAATTAGTTTTCTTTCTATATTATATGATAAATAGTTCTCTTTTAAAAAGTTTCCTGTTGTTTGTTCCCTCTGTTACTAAGTTTGAAATAGTAATGTTAACAGTTATTGATGTACAGTTGTGTATTAGTAGATTTGATTGACTAATATATGAATAGTTTATAAATGTAAAAAGATGAATCAAAGTATAATGTATTATATGTAAAATTTTGGATGGTTCATGCCCTTTTTTGGCAAGATATGTTTTATGATACGTATTAATAGTCTTTAATGCCCAGTAATAAATAAACAAATATGTATATATATATATATATATATATATATATATATATATATATATATATATATGATAAATGGAGAATAGATTAGTAGATCAGTCTGGGGCTTTATATCAAAATGGAAAAGCAAATAAAAAATAATAAAAAGCTTCTAGAAAGAGATTTTTGAAAAAATGTATGGAGTTTTAATGGAATTATAAGTGCACTTAATCGTATTTGTATGCTGAGTGTTTTCAAAGGGGGTTGTGTTGTTCATTTTAGCCTGCTCTCATTGTACAGTGTAATATATTCTGTCCTTGTGCTATTTTATATGTATAATGTATACATTTATAAATATATATATTATATTTTTGTTCTTACCCTTTTATAAGAGTTGTGAGAAAAAGTTACAGTGATATTGTGTTTTAGAATAAAAGGTCTTTATAATGTTTGTTTATTTGTATTAACATGTTTATCTTACTGCAGTTAATAATAGTTTAAATTGAAGTTCTGTTTGTAATAAAAAAAGGAATTGGCATTTTCCCATATTTTTTTTAAATTCATGTATTTGTCTTAATGGAATTGAATTTATTAGCTCTTGGAGGATATTAAGTGTTAGATTCTCAAATATTCCTATACTGAACCTCTAAATATTGAACTTTTCAAAAACAGTTTCTTGAAAAAAATAAATGGATATACATAATGTAACTTTTCATTTTTGACATGCATAGGCATATGTGCCCCTTGGAAATGATCAAAGTTCATTATTTTGGATTGAATGAATCATTTTTGGAGTTAGGAAATTAAAATCTCATTCCACAAATTGTATGTATGTACAATTTTATTTTATAATGGTACATATTATATAAACCTTATGCACACATATTTAATATAGATATGTACTGTACTAGACATAAGTATTATTTTACTTATGTCAAGTATTCATTTATATAAGAAGAATATGTAGTATTTTTTTTCGATAATGTTTCTTGTTTTCTTTTATCAAATAAATTTTTGTTTAATTTATAAAATATTAAAATTTTACATGCATATATTCTGTATGCAAACATTTATTTCTTATAAAAAATCCAACATTCTTCAAAAAATGTTATATTTGAGATTTTTGATGAATGGAAGTTCAATATAGAGAGGTTTTAACTGGATGTAAATATACAATAACAAAATAATATTGCAGCTGTAAGTTTTAAGTGGTAAATTTTAAATGTTATATTTCTAAATTGTGCCAAATTTTCAATGTTTGTTATTTATTTTATTTTTAGTTTTTTATATCCCTTTCTTCATTTTCATTGTTAAACCCCTAGCCAGATTGTCTTGTAGACTTCTGTGGTTTTTATTTTGTTTTATACCAAACCCTCTTTGACATGATAAAAATTCTTTTCATAAATATACCTTTTATTTCTTATAATCATGCTTGTCTTTCCTATTAACTGTTCCAAGATACAAATAATACCTTTGTAAGGTGAAAAATCTGGCGCTGCTTCATCATACAGCTTTCACTTACGATCCTAATTAATTAAAGTTCTGCTCGAATAAAGTTAGTTAACTATTCAGAAAATTAATTATTTAGAGTTAGTTAATTATTTAAATTTATTATTGTGTCTAAAGTTGTTTAAGGTTATAACATTTATAATTTCTAGGAAAATTGCTTTATTTTCCCCTTACCCCTTTACTCCATGCTTCAATTCATTTTAATATTCTCAACGAAGTTTCAGGTATTTTTGCTTATTTTCAAATCGAAATATTATCATTATATAATCCATATAATTATTGTAACATTAATCTCCTCACATTCTTCTAATTATAAAATTCATAACTTATGAAAAGTCAATTCTATAAAACTGTGGACCGTAAAAGAATTAACATTATTTTAAATTGACATCAAATGTTACACATTTTTTTCCTTTTAATACAACAGCCTTATGTCCACTTACTTTCGAGTGGTCATAAGGCTGTTGTATTAAAAGGACGAAAATGTAATATTTGATGTAATTTAAAATAATGTTAATTTTTTGACAGTCCACAGTTTTTTAGAATTGATTTTTCATAAATAAAATGAATTGAAGCATGGAATAGAGGTGTAAGGGTGAAGTAAAGCGATTTTCTTCGAAATTATAAATTTTATTAATTATATATACCCTTGAAAATTTAGAAGATTTAATAAAAAAGGTTATTATGTTTTATCGCCACATAAACACTGTTCGAAATATTTTGAGAGGCATAAATTTCTCGTACAAAAGTATAATTAAACAATTCCAGAATGACAACTCATTACATTTGCATTTTTGGTTTGTACAGTTTAAAAATAATTGTAGAAGTTTTCATTTAGTTCAGAAATTTCTTTTAGCTACCATGGAAACATTTGATTTCCACCTTAACATGAGAGAGCGAGGGCTCCGTACCCTTAGACCAGTGTATGACAAGTGAAAACAGAGGTTCCTTCTGTCTTTTCAAAGTATTGAAAAATCTCAAATTAAGGGTGTACAATGCTGTGATATAGCCAATTCTCATATATGGCCGCAAGGCCTCGATCCCAACCAGGACTCGAGAAAGATTCGGGAGAAAAATCCTCTGTATGATAACTGCAGTGATCTGAGATAAAAATACTTGACACATCACACATGGAAGAGAAAGAAAAATAAAGAGCTGCTTACAGAAACTGGTCAATCAATTTCACATGATAGGAAGGCAAGGAGATTAAGATGGTCAGGGCAAATTACCATCTAAGTTAACGTAAAATTAATGAAGAGCTGCATGCAGATAACTGGAAAGAAATAGCCCAAAATGGGCAGAGATGAATGAGGCTGCAAAAGATCGATAATGCCATTAGAAAAATAAAAAAAAAGTTATCAGAAGTTATTATTGATGATCTTTTCATCTCTATCCATTACCTAATACACCTTATATTTTAGGCATTAAATTGTGTAAAATCTTAAGCTTTCTAATGATATATTATACATATATATTTATACACTTATTTCCAGTATGTTTCTACCTGTGGAATGTTTCTCATATTAACCATCAAATTCTTTCTTAGTTTATATTTAGCCATTTTTTAGTTTTACTGATCACAAGAGACTTAATTATTTCAAATAAATCATTAAAGGTACTTTAGATATAGAAATAGAAATAGAAAATAACTTTATTCTGGGACAAAGTCCCTTTAGAATAACAAAGTAGAACATAATTAAAATACTACGTCTGGCCAAAATAAAACAATATATTAACTTTAGAGGGAATCATTTGAATAATTTGCCATTTAAGTCCTGTCAGACTACATCAATGAAGAAAAGGCGAACATTATATTAAGAACCACTTTATTGTACATTTGCATATAGAATTTAATCAAAATCGATTGAGCCATTTTTGAGGAAATGGATAAAATTTTTAAAACCAATGATGTAAAGTACTATTTGTCAATTTTGTCACATTTTCCTAGTTCCTTGAAAATGAAATATGATTTTAAAAGTTGGAATGATTCAATTGATATACATATTGGTAACTTCACATCCTTCATTCACATCCAAGAGATGAGGCTCAAAGTGAATGATGTGTGACTGAACCAAAATTGCTTTTTAGAATTTAGAGTTCTGATGGAGAAGAACATAAGAAAATGCACATTGATTTGATTTAGAAATAGACTATACCATGCCACAATGCATTGTAATAAACAGAAAGAGATAGAAAAATCTTCTTAAGTTATTTAAGTAAATAATTAAATTAGTTTTTGTAGTAGTTTTTTTTTATTCTAATTTTTAGTCTGGATCAATTTCACATGACTTTTATTATTTATAGTAAAATATGGTGAAAATAATTATTATTAGTTGATAAAATCAGGAACAAATTAAGAATGGACACTTGAAAAACATTCATTAAAAATAACGTATGTTCAATAAGTTCAGTCATACTATAAATGAAATATTTAGAAATGGTTATTCATTTTAAACAGTGCAACTATAATGAGAAATCAATTACAGAATTCATTGTCATTAAAAAATATTTTCTATAAGGTTCTATACCTCGCCCACCATAAGTTGGCAGCCCGAGGGAGCCACGGTGTTGTGCTGAAAGTAACATTTTGTTTTTTTCCTTATTATCTAATGATATATTTAATAATAAATACCAATGTATAAATATGAATGTAAGTGAAAATGTATTTACAAATATATAAAATATTGAAGGATGATATAATCTTCTTATCTATGTACGTATTTGTAAGAAATTATTGAGGTTTAGGTAAAACAAAATGTTAGTTTTAACTTTGTGCTGCATGAGTTCGTCATTGGGCAACAACTAATCATGGCTAAGTTATACCTACAATTTCTATTATAAAACTGAAAAAGTCAATTTAAAATAAAAAAAAAAAACGTAATTGAATTCTTTGCAATTAACCAAGTTTGTGAAAAAATAAAGAGACACAAATATAATTCTCTATAAAAAAGTTTACCAAGTTTTTATGAAATTAGAGTCTAGCAAAATTTAATTCTTCAAATAAGAAAGATATTGTTAAATAAATCTATTCTTGCTTACTAATCTTTTTTATAAACAGTCTAATTATGTTATGGGCTATTATATTATGTTATGTTATATTATGTTATGGGCTATTATATTATACCTAGTTCTGTCATAAATATTGTTACAAGGAAATATTCAACAGAAAAATTAATTTTTTCAAAAACTTTATTAGAAAATAAAATATATAACTATAGAGAGTAAAACAAAAAAGAAATTACTCAAAATGTCCTTTTAACTTGACACAGGTATTTGATCTCCGTGGCTAGTGATAAATAGCAGCTGCGTGCACTTCTTGAGGAAAGTGCTCTGTGGGATGCCATCCTCACCAGTTCGGACCAAATCCGATAATCTAGTGCGTTCATCTGAGGCAGAGATGAACTCTGGAATGTTTTTTTGCAGCCACTGCTGAGTTGATCTGGCCTTGTGAGCTGGATCAGAATCCTGCTGGAAAACCCAATGACTTCAAGCAAACAGAGTATCATTTAGAGGCTTGACAACAGGTTCCAAAATATCGTCCTGATAGTTTTTAGCGACTGTTTTAACTCCTTTTTTAGAAAAATGGAGCTTTGTGTTGTCATCAAGGCAAACTCCCCACCAAACCATCACTGAGAAAGGGTGATGACCTCTTTCCATTCAGAAACCTATGATTTCTTGGTCTTCTTTAGAGCTGTGTGTGTACCATGATCATTTTGGCGATTAAATTTGTCTTCAATTGTAAAAATTTTCTCATTGGTAAACAAAATCTTTCGATGAAGACCATTGGTGTAACAGCCAAGGAGCATTTTGCCTTACTATAATTAAATTTTATCAGGGAAGTGATTAGCGTTTGTCCAGTCATTCTTCGAAATACACCCATCCTAAGGTCACTTTATCATGTGAGAAATTGATCTGACAGAGATTACCATTTCCCGAGACACGATTTGTTGTTCTCGAATGGGATTTCTTGTGGGATTTCTTTATTCGAGGAGCCATTAGTATCACTGCATTTGCCATTCTCACAGTGTAGGGTTTGCCTGCCGAGATCTGTCACATACAGATAGGGTCTCATCATATCTATTTATAGTGCGTTAAACAAAAATATGGCTGATACCCAAAGGTTTCAAAGTGTTGAAAATCTCAGACCTACATTTTCCAACTTTGTGTAAGGCGATCACAGCTATTCGGTTTTCTTTATCACACCACTACATGTTAATTGAGCGAAACAAAAATACAAACTAATTGTGATTATTATCCTGACATGTAAGGAAAATAACCTAATAGAGGTAAGGATTATCTAAATAATATCCAAGGATATAAAGTTCAACTTTTGTAACAGTATTTATGGCAGAACTAGGTAGTATCAAATTTAATAATGTCAACTTGAAAAATGTAATATTGCTCAGAGATTTGGAGTGCTTTTTTTTTTTTAATCTTGTTATTGTAACACATTATTATTAAAAATATTTTTTTGTAGAAGAAATTATTTATAAATTTATTATAAAATATTTTGTAATATATAAACCGAAAGCGGGCACATATGACAGTATGAGACTCTGAAAGACATGTTTTCAAGGGAAAAAATGTATATATTCAAATTATCACTCTAATATTTCTGTTTCTAATATCTTACGTATTTTCATGCTAGTGTTCCTGGAATGTGATCTGTCAAAGGATTTCTTCAAATACTATTTCATAAATTCTAAATCTCTGGAGCCCTAAAATACACCAGGTTCTTGAAGGATTATGATATTGATTTAAGCCAAGATAACGGTTAAATCTTTGATTTTATTTCAATTCATTCGTCTTGTTTATTTTCATGTTCAGAATGTTTAGGAAGAAGATCATAAAAAAATGGTTTTGGAATATACATACATTTATTTCAATCACTTATACTTTTATTCCATTTATGAAACAAATAGCAATTGATGTATGGCGACTTAAAATAATAAATATGAACACTTTACATCAACTAAGCTATTTACAATAGAAAAACATGTTAAACCTAAATATATATTTATATATGTACACACATAACAAATGTTACTGCTATATATACATGTCTTATTCACATTCATTAATAAAATTGGAAACAGTTTTATAAAGCTTTAATATATTCATTATTTCCAAAATGTTAATATTTAAGGAGCCATTAATCATTGTACAATTCTGTGTCCCAAAGGTAATATCCCCATGTCCATTTTTTATGAAATGATTTAGTATCAAAGAAACAAATTTTAATAGCTCAAAGTTTTGGAAAATTGGCTTCCCTGAACAAATACAAACATGGACATGGTGTTCTTTACCTGCGGGGTATAGAATTATATTTATTGTTTTGATTTTTTAAAGAAATACTTCAATTTTTCTTTCATTGGATTTAAAATATTATTTTACTGAAGATAAAATAATTCTATAAATATTCCATAAAATTGAAGATTGTAAAACTTCATGATATAAGCAAAGCTCATTCGAATTGTAATTGTGGTTGGTTTAAGTACCGTAGGAAAATAAATTTAAAGGCAAGTTAAATATTTTTTGGGGTGGACATATTATTTTCTATATAATATTTAATATATTCTAATTTTAATTGAATTCCTGTTGGTTAAAAAACATTAAGTTAATTCTAAATAAGGAAAATAACAGTTCTTCGAAAACTTGAATTAAATTAAAATTCTTTTAATAAATAAAAAATAAAATAAATTGTCTTTGAAATTATAAATAGGTTTGAAGTTGGCAGTACAATCGACAAAATGTTTAATAAAACCGTATATTCTGCTTAACTAATTCTCAGATTCATTTCCCTAGTATTTCATGTTTGTAATTTATGAATTTAGATTGAATGAACTTTAGTTATCTCAATAAAAACTATATCATTTAAGTTCATTACTAACATTTCTACGGTATCAATATTTACATAGAACGATTTTAATTATTCAAACTCCATTACTTACATGTAAGACTTCTGAATGAACAGTCATGAACAATTATGACATTTTAGTATTAGGCTTTCTTAACAAGTGCTTTTAAATATGTTGTAATAAAGAGGTACTGAAGCTAATAATTATTAAAATTTACAACTAATGGTAAAAACAATAACTTATGGAAATTATAATGTCTAATGGTATTCAAGGAAATGTCACTATACTTTCTTCAAAGTATTGATGTTTCTTAGTTTCCCAATATTTTTTTTTGCAACTTAATCACAATATTTGATTAGTTTACCTTTCAAAAATATCTCAACAAAATCATTTTGCTGAAATATATGAATTTCATTCCAATAAAAAGAAAGGTAAACTTGTGCGTAAGTAGTGAAGTCTTATCATTCTGATTAAAGCTCATAAATCTTCATTTTACTTTCAACATCTTCTTTTTTTCAGGCTGTGAAAAAATGATTGTATTAATAATACATAAAACTATAGTTTTAAAACAGAAACTGATATATTAAAAAATTTGAATCAAATTTTATTTGTCCTAGAGAATGGATTTACTATCTTTATGGATAACAATATGGTAGTATTTAATTAATTTGTAATTTTTATAAATAACTTTATATTTTAAAGTAAAATTAAGGCTTACTGGTAAAATACTGAAACAGCATGTGAGGTCTTCTGACACCGACATCACTGCCCCAGCATTGTCAAATTCGCCACAATAATTCGCAGCAGAAAAAAGTGTTAGTAATGCTCGTTGTGAAAAAAATTGGTATCCATCTTCCACAACCTACAAAATTAAAAAAAAAAAAAACAGTAATTTTTAAACTATATTAATTTAAAGGTGGTCCAGAGTGTCCATTAAGAAAGGAACTTCAAATAATAAAATCTTTTTATTTACATTAAGTATTTGAAGTTCCTTTCTTGACTGCCAACTTTGACCATCTCTTCTCTCATTATGTATAAGGTCAACTGACAAATATCCAATTTAATAATTTGAATTGAAGTTTGAACTTAAGAATTATACCAAAATGTTGATAAACTTGATAAAAGAAGAACATTTATCAATGTTAGGATTTGCAATAGTTAAAGTTGTTAATGTTATCAAGTTTTATCTGTTCATATTTTTTATTTTCTAATGATTGTGGATCAGTTCAATATGTTTATTTAATAATTATACATTAAACTTTCAATTTTTAATATACTTTTTGCTACTGATTTTGCAACGTATTTACAAAAACTTTATTTTAGAAAAAATGTTAAGGCTTTTTAACTATCTTATAATTTTTTATATAAAATAAACTAATTTTTGTGATGATCTTTTCAACGGTCATCACTCTAGATCTTTATTTTTCAGACAGTAATTTCCTGAGTTACTTTTTGGATTAAAAGGAAAAAATTAATTGGTTTAATCATAGTCATAATTCCAGAATTAATTATTAATCAATGGAACCATAAAGACCTGTACTTTATTAATATATACTATCAAGTACTGTATTAAAGCAGATAGAATTCAGAAGTTAGATACAAATTTTATTAAATATTGATAAATTTTTTAAGATAATCTTACCTGATGTGCTCTTACAATTAAAGAAACGCCATGCCGTCGTAGAAACCCTCGAACAACATCTGAACCAAAAACGTAGCTTACTCCTCTGTCGTTTTGACCCCAGCCTACCACACGCTAAAAGAAAATAAATTTTTATAGATTTATATTTATAAAATATTTATAACATTTTGTATGTTTTCAGTCCTAAAATGTATTTAATACTATTTATTGCTGAAGTTTTTTTATGGCAATTTTTAGTTTTTTCAATTTAAGTTATTTCAGACCAGAACCTAAAATAACCTTGCATATATTACCTTGAAATATTTTAATCTAGGGTAATTAAAAATAATAAAAAAATATATAAAGTATGTAGTTGACTGTTACTAAATTGTATTGATATATTTGAAAAACCGTGTTTAATTTTCTGAGGGAGCTAACTCTTAACTCTCATTGTTCAAGAAAACATGATATTATGAACATTTATCTCATTACTTTTAATTTTGAACATTTTTTCCAAGATAATATTCTAGGTTTTAATAAATTTCTTGTATTAACATTGTTATAAAACAGCTCTCCTGAAAAAATTAAGTTAATAGGTTATAAATTATTATTAGAAATAAATAACCATAATTAGCGTAAAAGCGGGAGCATATTATTAAAAAATAAAAATATTACTATATTTTTAAAAAAGCTTGTTAAAATGTACCTCATCAGGGTCTCCCCATAAAAGGTCACAGACCAGCCCGCTTTCTGGCACATCCAATGGTCTTTGAATCTTTTTGATCTACACAACAATTTTACAAACATTACAAGTGAATTAAACAAAAACACATTTTTATAAATTTAAATATGAGTAGTAATAAAAAAAAAAAAGAATCATTAATGTTTACCTGGTTCAAATCAACAAGCTGTGGTGAAAGCCCTCCATGCATGCAAAATATTGTACCTTCGATTAGTGCAGCTGTAAAATAAAGAAATGTTTTCAAAGAAGAAATAAGAAATTTATTTGCAAAATTCTCATGGAAAATAATAAAGTTATCTGGGCCATAATTATAGTTAAAATCTTCTGATGTTAAAGTGTGGACTATGCTAAAAGGGATCGAAACGTTGAATAAACACCAGGATCAATGAACATTTTGTAGTTTATTGAATAATAATTAAGTGACCTAATTCCCAATTTAAATAATTATGTTAAAATATAATACTCAAAGATTTATTGAAGAAATTTTGTATATATATTTATATTCTAATAGTATATACGAATATATTTGTAGGAGTCGATCACAATTTCTTATTTTAAAAGTTGATGTAATTTCAACAAACATATCCTTAAAGAGAAAAAATGCATGTAGACGACAGTTTCTAAACGCACAGTATAATTTATTTGGAAAATTTGGAAACAATTATGCTAAATTTAATTTAAGTAAAAGTTTTCTGAGCTATAAATGATATGTTTTCTTTACATTTAATGAGTTATTTATTTGTTCAGACTTGTTATTGCATAAAAAACAAGTTGCGATCCCAAAAAAAATGGTGATATTAGTAAATTGAACTGACATCTTGGTATGAAAAATGTAATTACGACAATGTAAATTTAAATAAATTAATTTAATATTATTAGTGAATCATTAGGATTTTTCGAGATCACAATAAAACAGTACCTCTAAGTAAATGATTATCATTGAGAAAATTAATTGATGAAATAAATAGAATAACTCTCTAATACTTATAGAATTAGATTTCATACAAGTCATTTAGAATTAAATAGATTTTATTTCCATTTTTCTAAATTCCAGTAGAACAAAAAAACTACAAATATTGATTTTTGGACAAAGTTTGAACATGGCATCTTCAATTGGGTTCTTTGAGTGCTCTTAAATTCGAGAATTTTCAATTCTAATGTATATAGGATGTATTTTACATTTATAGAGGATGAAAACTATTGATAAGGAAGATTGACCTCTACTGATAGTACTTTATTAGTAATGAATCCTTGTCTATAGAAATTTTAATCATCAAAAGTATTTCACAAAGATGCCTTTTTTTTTTTTTTTTTAAATCAAATAAATCTCCTATTCATTATCATTGCACTATGGGACAGTCTTTAGCAACATTTCTTTCAAGAAGAGTGGCACTCAAGAATATGAAATAGAAACTATGGATCTAAATAGTTATATGAGAAGGAGTTGATCGGGGGGGTGTGGTCAAATAAATACTAAATTAATCAAATAGTATTATTTAATTGTCAACCATCTCTACATCATTCTAAATAGTTATAATTTAAAACTTCAACTTTATAATCAAATTTTGTTGATATTTAGTAGTATTTGATTGATGTTCTTTAAGCTACTGGTTAAGGAGTTTTTAAACTTTTTTTTTTCAAATAAAATCATTTTTATTAAAAATAGGTTTTGATCCAAAATGAATCGTTTTGATAAAAATTAATAATAATAATAACTAATAAAGTAACTTTATTGTATTGATATCTAAATATAATGCTAAAAAGCCAAGTATATAATTCCAGAACTTACCGATAGGTAAGCAATTGAACAAGTCTGTGAAAGTTTTCCATAATTTTACTGAATATCGTCTTTTGCACTCATCATAAAAACCATAAACTCTGCATCAGAATTAAAATTATATATTAGTAAATGATTAAAAAAACAAACATAAATATACTATAAATTGCATAAATATATATTTTTGAATTACACTGAATTGGAATTAATGAAGTTTTATTAATGATTGATTTAAATTTTTTTTATTAAAAAACACTAAGCATACCTGTTTATAGATGCACATTCATGATTACCACGGAGCAGGAAAAAGTTGTTGGGATACTTTATTTTGTAAGCTAAAAGAAGACAGATGGTCTCAAGTGAATTTTTGCCCCTGGAAAAAACAAAATAAAAAAATAAGATTAAAATGCTGAATTCACCTTTAGTAAAGGTTGAGTCTGCAAAGAAACATTCAAAGAACTTTCTCTGACCTAATAACATGTATCCATTGTCATTCTATCAACAGTATATACATTTTTAATGAAGGGATGTTACTATTGTGTTAATTATAATTATTATAAAAATATATATTTCTTAGTTACATGTCTAGATTTATGATAAATACTAGACAAGAAAATTTTTTTTTTTTGTTAAATGGTTTATTGTGTACTTAAGGAATCAATCTCTTCAACATTATCAAGAACTTAAATTAAAAATATTTTCTTTTTTTTTTTGTCAATTTTCAAAAGCAAAAAATTAAATATGTATGTATCAAGGTGTGTTTAGACATTTTACAAATTATGAGACAAACAAATATATAAATGATTATTTCATTATGCTGGTATTTTAGTTTCTTGTTTTTGATATTTTCCATCTGTTGTCGGTATCAAGAGAAATAAAATAAATAGTTTGGTTTAGCAATAATGTTGATGTTAGTTAAGTAAGATAATTGTGTTTCCCATAGTTTGTGAAATGTCTAAACGCACCTTAAAATATTAGCAACAAGAGCAACAATTACACATCTTCCATCCAATAATATGCATTATGCAAAAAAAAAGAAAAAAAAAAAGATAAATAAACTAAAAATAACAAAAGAAACATTGCTTGGTTTAGATAAACCTTTCTTAGTGACTTTTTGGCTCTTTTCTACTTTAAGAACACCAATGTTTGAAGTGTTTTTTCATTTAGATTAAAATATCTCAGAAACTATAAATCAGATCTGAATACTGTAAGAAAGAGAAATGTTCAGCATTTCATCCTCTTTTTAATAAGCTATTATTCAAAATTATTATCTTAACGCGACGCTGTGTTAGAGGCGAAAAGAGAAAAAAGTGTCGAAAACCAAATGATAACTAGTTTCTTGAACATATGGATGAAAATATCTCACAAACGAGAAATCTGGCTTACATATTGCAAGTGAGAGAAATTTTCACCATTTCCTCTTTCTAATTAGTTATTATATAAAAACTGCATCTTAACACGACGCAGTGTTAGAGAGGCAAAGAGGGAAAAAGTGGTGTTTGAAAACCAAATAATAACAAGTTTGGTTGAACATCTAGATTAAAATATTCCAGAAACTAGAAATCGAACCTGCATACCGTAAGTGAGGGAAATTTTCAGCATTTAATTCTCTTTGTAGGGCAGATTTAGAATCTGAACATCTGACCGAACGAGGGTAATTTGGAGTTATATTGCAAACAGTGCAGTTGATTCCTAGAAGTTTTGAAGTGTACACTGAGGAGAAGGGTTCCAGCGAAATTAAGTGGGTGTGATTGCCAGATATAACAGCAGTGCCTACCCCTTCATCAGTTTTTGAACCGTCTGTGTAGATGAAGGTCCAATCGCGGTGAGTGGCTTTAAAATTGTGCAATTTCTATTGGGGGTAGATGACAGCTTATGATGTAGTTATTAATTAGAGCTGGAAGAGGTAGCAGCCATGGTTTTACTGCTGAAAGAATTTGGGTGAACACATTCGGAAAAGCAATGAGTTCCAGATTTTTAATGTATTTAGAACATCTATCAGGAAACGATGAGCAGCTGTTTGAAGAGCTATTTGGGTGGACTTGGTTGCCTATATTAGAGAAAAGATTGTAAAGAGGTTTGTTTGGGATTGGTTATAACTTTGTTGTAGTATTTGAGTGTTTCTTTTAATCGACAAAGGTAATTCAGTTGCTTCTAGGAATAAGCTGGTGGGTTTGCTGTGGCGCCAATAGCTGCCCTCAGAGGAGTGTTTTGAATGGGATCTAACATCCTTAACGTTCTTTCGTTTGCCGAACTGTAGGCTACACATCTGTAGTTAATTTTGGAAAGGGTGAGGAATGTTGTCCTGTCTGATCCCCAGGTTGTATTACTTAGCATTCTTACGACGTTCAAAGCCTGCAAAAAGTCAACTTTTAGTTGTTTGACATACGGGATCCAAGTAAGGGATTTATCGAAGATAATTCCGAAATATTTAATAGATTGAGAAAATGTCAAATTTTTCTCTTTTAATTTAATTCCATCTGGATTTAAATTCTTATTCTTTGGAATAACATGTATTGTGTTTTGGAGACTGATATAGCCTATGATCCTCTAATCACTGAACGACACTTTGGATTGATTCTTCGAGGATATTTCGAACTGCTGACAAATCTTTTTCTTCAAGATATAATAGAAGATCATCAGCGTATAGAAGGAGTTTGACAGGTGGCTTAGCGACACTTTGAATTCACAATTTTGAGAGAAAAAATTTCCACATTGTACTTTGAATGATCGTTCATTTAGGAAGTTTTTAATAAAGTTCCACATGGGGCTCTGTATTCCGATGTCTTTGAGTTTACTTAATATAATGCATGCTTAGGTGGAGTTGAACGCGTTTTATTTGTCTATAAAAACTGCGATTATATGTTTACAATCTCTATTAGACCACGTTTCCACACACCCTCTAATTACAGAAATAAAAATACAATTAAAAACAATGAAACACGCTGGTTGTAGAGTATTGTTTTTATGGATTCCTGGTCACAGTAGAATTCCTGGAAATGAAAATGTAGACACACACGAGCAATAAACTCAACAAACGAGCAATAAAAAATGGTCAAATATTTTCAATAAGTGATCGCAACGATCTCATTCTTGGATCAATGAAAAAGGATGGCTGGAGTGGTAAAGCGAATGGTTTGGCATGAGAGGAAATAAATTAAGAAAAATCGAACAATGTGTTAAAAATCCAATATAAAGTCTAAAGCTATCACGGAGAGAAGAGGTAGTTCGTACCCGCCCCAGGATTGGCCATTGTCGACTTACCCATGGATATCTGATGAAGAAGGAAGAACCGCCATGTACCTACTGTGGTGTATTCAAACAGTATTTCACATACTAACCGAGTGTATGGCTCACGACTCCTACAGATTCTCCACAGACCCAGGACAAATATTGAGACAGGACCCAGACACGACTTATTAAATTCTTAAAAACTATCGACATTTATAATAAATTAAAAAAAAAAACTTCTAGTGACTAATAAAGAGACTTCAGTGTAAATGAACCCAGTATTCGAAAAACCCAAATAAGTAAATAAATTCTCTTTGTAATTATTTATTATTCTAAATTGTATCTTGGCACGTCGCCGTTTTAGAAAGGTAAAAAAAGAAAAATATAGCGTCACTGGTTTGCTTAAAGTAGAAAAGATAACAATTTTTGTCCATGTTTTCATCACTAAATATAATTCTTGGTTTCAACTTCGTTTGGTTTTTACTTTCACTTATTGGTCATAGGATGCCATCCTTCACCTCTTCCTTGTGGCTTTTTTTAATCGTCCTTCAACCCCCGGCCTTTGCCTTGAAGTAGGCACTTGCTCAGGTGTTTAAGAACTGTTAATAATTTATTTTGGGAAACCTGTCTTAATTTTCTACATATCATTACATATTTAATATAATTTTGTAACCCATTTTCGTTCCGTAACTTTCCATGTTACTAGTACAACCCAGAGAGAACTCTCACATTAAATACGTATTAGCGATATCATGGGAAAATGTTTATTCGGATATACAATGTAATATGGTATATTATTAAAAATTATTATATTAAAAAATATTATTTAGTAAGCAAAATGGCTAGTCTATTAAAAAAATACACAATCGGTGAAACTTCGCACTTTATCATAACTGCTAAAGTAAGAGGAAGTAACAGTTTGTATTTATTAAAATGTTTCTTCTTCGAAGTGCCTATTTGATCATAGAGCTATTCTCCTCCATTTATCTTTTGAAAACATTTTTAGTTCGTCGATGACTATTAGGTCAGTCTATTTGAAATCAACCAATTTTTATTAATTTCGTTGCTTGACATTTCTGATTTTTATGTCTTTTTTACCAATTATTTCATCTTAATCGAGTTTTCAAAACCATAGTTAAAAAAAATTAAGACAGGTTTTTCTCGATGCCCATTTCGCTTTTGATTATCTCTTTGTTGCAGTAGACTAGCACTGTAACGAAGATGGCCGTGAGAGAGAGCACGATGGTGCATATTAAACCGTTTCATAACTCTTCTTTCTTAATAAATAATTTTCATAAACAGACTTGATCTATTTATAATAGTATACACAAACTTTATGAACTGGGTTAAATTCTTCACAATTTTTATCTTCAATGATACTATTGTTTTCTTTAAAATCATGAAGGTATGTATGAACAAAAAAATGTCACTTTTCACACAAACATATCCCTGAGTGAGGTAATGTAATGTTCATCCAATCGGCGTAAGTAATCTACTACAGTTCTAGATTTAGCATTTATCTTAAAGAATTATTGCAGGATCACCGTATTCACCAATTAAAGTAAGAACTTGAGGATCAAAGGGTTGAGTTACTTGAGGAAAAAAGACGACTGCGAAGCCAAAACATTTGGCGCTAAGATTGAAAATCCAAGGAAAATAGCCCGGCAAGGATTGGCTTAGGTCCAAGGTACTGACAGTGAGTTGGCTCCAAGTCTGATGGGATTAGATACAACGTACTAAACTGCTTATGCCAATGAGTCGAGGGGTACGTGATGTCTGTTGTCTCTCCATGCAATTAGATACGGTTAGTCATTGGGTAGGAGCCAGCCTTTCGAAACATTGATGCTAAATACTGAACAGATATCGGGCTTCATATATGTATCTTATCAAAATTAATAGAAATATCTTCTAAGACTCTATTTATAAAACAATATTTATATAATAGGTCGGATAAAGAAATGATCGCTTTTAAAAAAAATATATATATATTTTTTTGTTTTATGTAACATAATTGTTGTGGACGGCCAAGATTTTTTTTCGTCATATACATATAACGATAACTAATTTGAAAAAAAAAAAGAAAGAAATTAACTACCTATATGAAATGGTGTTTAAATACTTCCTGAAGTCCTATTAAATGAAATT